GAGCAAGCATAGGTACAGTAAAGCACATTAAATAGGGGTGCCCTTCCTCTTAAAATTTGTGCAAAGACGTATCCCTCAGGGTTCCAGGAGCTGGGATAATATGCCAACCTCGATATTCACCAGTCTTTCCTGTCCTGTCTTGGCCTCAGTTTGCTTGCCTGTCAGGTGAGTGGATTGGCCCAGATCATCTGAGGAACTTGAAACAAAATCAACCCCGAGCTCCAGCATGAGATTATTTTTAAGTGGCCCAAGTAATTCTAAATGGAGAGCCAGAATGGGGAACCAGAGGCCTAGCCGACCTCTGAGGTTTCCTTTAGCCTCTGCCACCTGAGTGCTGGTGTGCTCTCTGTGAGCACTTGCCCACCCTGGTGAGATCCTGCTGACACTCGGTTTTTCAATGTGGTCCTTGCTGATGCTTGTCAAGTACCCTTGGAAGTTCTCCGTAAGCAGATCCCAGTCAAAATGCAAGCATGGTAAGCTCATGTAGGGGACAGACACTCACATGGATTTCCTGACTTTCTCTGGTAGCATGAAATTAAGCTTTAGGTAGGTCAGTCCATCATGAAATAGACACCACCAGTTCCCCCTTAGAAAGAGGAAAAGTTGATAAAACAATCATTTGTCCACAGAACATCCCATATTCTGCATTCAGCAGGGAGCATCTTTATGGTATTGCTTTGTTCACCTTCCCACATTTTCTGTACTTGGTCAGATCTAAAGACTTGACTAAATTCAGGTTCTCCCCTCCCTCTCCAAGAATACTAATCGGTGGTGTGGTGTACACCCTGCTGCACACAATGGTCACACTAGCTGGCAGTATTGTCTGATTGTCCCATTTTTACTTACATTAAATTCATCATCAGTTATGTTGTTAATTGATTTACCCCATTAGGAAAGTCCTGTCAGTCTTGCATGCAACTTTTTTTTAACATTCATTGATGATTGTCACCTAGGTCTATTACTTAGTCATTGAAAAGTTGTGACTCTGTCATTGGGGGGGAGGGGGAGGGGTAGAAGACTCTTATTTTGAGTAATTTCAGCCTTTTTTAAAAGAAAAATTGCCAGAACGATAGCAAGCACTCCCACATAACGTTCATCCAGAGCCTCCAATTCAGTGGTTCTCAACCTTCTGGCCCTTTAAATACAGTTCCTCATGTTGTGACCCAACCATAAAATTGTTTTCGTTGCTACTTCATAACTGTAATGTTGCTCCTGTTATGAATCGTAATGTAAATATCTGATATGCAGGATGGTCTTAGGCAACCCCTGTGAAAAGGTCGTTCGACCGCCAAAGGGGTCGCGACCCACAGGTTGAGAACTGCTGCTCCAATTGCTAACATGGATGCCTCTTAGTAGCTGCAGACGTTATATACCTTATCCCTAACTATTTCAGAGTGTGAACCTTGAAACAAGGACATTTTTACATAACCACAGACAGTGATTAAAATTAGGAAATCGATGTTCATACTCTTAGTTAATATCCAGGCTTTCGTATTTCACCAATTGTCCTGCTAACGTCTTTTATGAGGAAAACCACCAGGAGCAGGATGGCTGTCCACAATCACTTGCTGCATTTAGTTGTCATGTTTCTTGGGTCTCCTCTGATCTGGAACAGTTCCTCTGGTTTTGCCTTTCATATCTTGACATGTTTTAAGGGGGCAGGACAATTACTTTGTAGTTTGCCTGGTGTTTTCTCATGATCTGATTGAGGTTACGTAGTTGGGCAGGAATACTCCAAAACTGATGTGATGTCCTCAGTGCGTATCAGGTGCACGTGTGGGTGGGTTGGACCATTACTGGCGATGGTCACTTTAATCCCTTGGTTAAGGTGCTGTCAGCCAGGTTTCTGTGCTGTACTGATTTTCCTCTTTATGGAATACCAGATAAGATCCTCATCAGTCTTTCATCCACTGGTTTAGCAGCCATTGGTGATTGTTGAAAAATTGCTAAGATGTTTGCCAAGCTTTCCTTTTACATTTATTAGTCAGCATTCTGTAAGAATGAACTTCCCATACATACACACACATGCACACTCATGAACACACTGTGTGTAGGTTACAGTCTGATTCTCTTTTTCATGCACACATTATCCATTTTTGAGCCTCTTCGATTGGCTTCTATGTTCTTTTGCTATGTCCCTGTCATTCTCTGAGCACTTCCTTACATTGACAAGATATGCTAGGTTCATCATCTACTTTTCCAGATTTGCAAACCATTTCTCCGAGGAGCTGTGGTTCCTTTTCATGGGGAATGGTATCCAGACCAAAATCTGGGCACTGGTCATGTTTATTGCTACTGGGGTGTCTCCACAGAGAGGCAGTGTGTGTGTGTGTGTGTGTGTGTGTACATGCATACACTTGTGTATCTACATGTCATAACTTTATCTCTACATTCCATGAGTTCTTAGTAATATCTTCAGTTCCAACACACAGGATCCATTCTAATCTTTCTCCATTCCATATTAATAATTCCTCCAACAATTAGACACTGACTCCTGTTATCTTCAGTGTATTTCCTTATTTTTCAATCCTAGAATATGCCAATGTGGTCTCATAATTACTAACCCATACTACTGTGAAAAAGTCTTTCTAGCTAGAATTCAGTATTTGTTTACTGATTCACTTCCAACATTACAAAAATACAGGGTAGGCAAAGTAGGTTTACAGTTGTCAGTATATGAAAGTTTATTCTTGTGTTATTATTTACTGATTATTGTATTATCTTCCATATGAATAACTGTAGACCTACTTTTGCCCACCCTGTATGTACAAGGTTAATCATGTAGTAATTTCTTTAATTTAGACTTTTTGTCTAATCTTAGAGTACATTGCTTATTTTTGCTCTTTGGTTTATTAATTATTTAAAATACAATTCACTATCTTGAAATTCTTAATTTTGTCTCAAATTTGTCTTTATAATAAAAACAAAATCTGATGGAATGATGAAACATGCACTGGGCCTGGCACCTTGGCTCACACATGGCTCCACCTCCCCAGGATGCTGTCTCAGCTGCCCCCTCTTGCCCTTGGGCAGCCTCCGTCTCCCTCCCTTCTCATCCACTGAGATTGATTCAGGCCAAAACTCTTGTCTACCACTTGACTCTCATAAACTCTCACTCTGGTGAACAGTGGCATTTGGGTCCCAGAGATTAGTGTCCACATAGTCGGTGTCCAGCGATCCCTGAAGATCTTCCTTCTCCAGGGCACAGTGGCCCTGGTCTGTGGCTGCCAACACTTTTGGGGAAAGACTGGCTGTTTATATTTGTGGCCACCGTGCACTGAGAAGCTGCCTGCCTTCCTGTCCAGAGAGTCTGGGTCTGGGAACTAGGCAAGAGGTTGGTGCTCCGCTCACTGCAGTAAGTGCAGGCTTCCACTCCCCTGTCCATGTTTGTACAGCAAGTAACACATCAGCAGGTCGCCCATCTGTTTTATTCCTGGGAGTCAAAACATTCTTGTGGACACTCATTGTAGTGTTTATATCCATCTGACTCCCATTGAAGTCAGTCATCCCATCATTGTCAGCCTTGGCCTTCGGGGAACACACACCACACAACTTTTTAAAGATGCTGGTCGCCTTCCCTACACACCTCTCAGCACCTCAGTGAGGAAGTCACCATAAATCCACTCCAACATCCCTTCCTTCCTAAGCCTTTGGCTTCCCCCCTCTTCAGACATCAGGCTTCTCAATCTCATTGAATCCAGGCTACTATTGAGTATGGTTTTAGTCAAGCTGTTAGAGCTACTTCTAGATGTTTGAGCTAAACATTGAGTTCAGAATCTCTGCTAAACACACCACTACATGTGACCTGATCTAAGATCCCTCCTATCCATTTAGTCTAATACCTTAGAATTTATCCCACACATATTCTCCAGGCTTTTATTATTATAAATTAGCAAAATCTTACTTAGTATTTAGTTATTAATTTATTGCTAGAATAATTAGCAATTGGTTTAGTGTGTACTGATTTCCTCCTGGCTCAGACTCTGTACCTGTTTTCCTTAGTTCTAGTTATGCGTATGGGGACAATAAGGGTGTTGTCAGGGTGGGTGTTGAGAATGGGCATCCTCTTGAAAGGGTACTTAACAGGTGAGGTTATTTATTACTCAGACAAGAAAAGGCTCTGTCTTCACACTGGAGAAGAGCCCGCTGCCTGGGGATTTGTCTGAGTCTACCCAGGGATCCTCAGTAAGACCTCAAGGTCTCACTCCTTCCCAGTCAGTGCCATGAATGTCACTTAAGAGAATTGGCATGGCTATGAATTCAATTTAAGATTATAATTCTGCAAGACATGCATATTTTGGGCCTGACCTTATGCCCCGCCCATATCTATAAGAATGAGAGATTCTTTTAAACGACTGATACATAAATGCTCTAGTTCTCTGATCATGCCCTGACCTTAGAATTCAAATCCTTGAAATTATCCTTTCTGTGAACACCCAGCACAGTAAAAAGTAGCCAGTTTACTTCACTGTCATCATCACTTCTGTAACTATCAAGTGCAGCATCTACCTGGTCCTGTAAGCCTTGTTTTCAATAGGCACTTGATGCTCAACAGCCGAGCCCTAACACACGGTGGGCCATGTGTTCCCAGCTCTCACCAGGAAACAGTCCCCTGCAGGTATTTCAAGCAGAAGAGATTTAATATGGGGATTTGTTATAAGGATGCTTGAAGGGGTAATGGAGCAAGAGACAGAAGGCAAGGTTCCTCCTCTAATGGTAACTGCAACTTGGAAGTTGACACCAGCCTGGGCTGGAGGAGCAGCAAGATAGCTCAGAGGCTGGAGCACTGTCCAGTGAGGCTGCTAAGGTTGGGATCCAGGAGCCTGCACTTCCAGCCACCTCCACCTGACCCGTCACTGTTACTGTAGCCAATGCTCCTGCTGCTGCTGCCGCTGCCGCCAGGGATGCTGTCAGAAATCTGAAGCAGCAGGAAGCTACTTCTCCCCTTCCACCTCTATCTCCCTGCAGTGCTGTCCATTGGCAAATGCTGGCAGGAAGGCCTCAGGAGTGTGATTTGGGGGTCTGACTGTACTTATCAGTATGTTGCTACATTACATTGCAGGGTACAGAAAGATGAAGATGGGACACAGCAATCAAGCAGCACAAATGAGTGAACAGTTAGAAGAAGTTCACAGTTAAATCTGTCCCCCAAATCCCAGCTGACTAAATTCACATATTAAGTCCCTGCTATGTGCTGGGATGGGGCTAGGTCTGGGAAATGCACTGGTGAACACAGCAGTCCCTGCTGTATTGGGACTTACAGGGTGGGGACAGACAACTAATGAACACTTTATCTGAAGATGCTATTACAGGTATCGTGACAAATGTTTTTTATCTGGGACACACAAAAAACCCTAAAAAGACTGACCACCCCATAGTATGGAGGCAAAAATAATTGAACAGACCCTCCACAAAAGAGGATAATCCTGTGCTCAATAAGGAAAACTGCTCAACTTTATTAGTCATGGAAATACAACCGCAATGAGACACCACTACATACCCAGCAGGCGACTAGTAACGAAAAGACAGGCGACACCAGGGTGTGGTGAGGATGTAGGGCAACTGCTGATGAGAGTGTAAATGGGAACAAACACTGGCAAACTGCTGGGCAGCATCTACAGAACCTAAACACTGGTTACCCTCTGACCCAGCAATGTGACTCTTAGAGTTAGTGCACATGTTCACCAAAAGACATGTGCAAGAATAGTCATAGGAGCTGTATTCCTAAAAGTTCACACCCAGAAATAACCCAATGGACATAGATAAATGGATAAAGGAATGGATAAGTTGTGGCACATTCAGCAACAAGAATGAGTGAGCTATTGCCACATGCAACAATGTGGATGAATTTCACAGAATGTTGAACAAAAGAGTCATATGGTTCCATTTATTTGAAGTTCAAGTGTAGACAAAACGAATCTATGGTGATAGAAGGTAGAATGGCATTTTGGGGTTACTGACTGGTGATGGGGAGGGGTAGTGTTTACATAGGTGTATCTATCTGTATAAAAGTTTATCAGTTGTAAACATAACATTTGTCTACTTCACAGTATGTTAGTCCTCACAAAAACTGAGAAAAACAAAACCAAAGCCAAGAGAGTTTCATGTAAATATAAGTATTAAGAAATTAATGTGATGAGTGGATGGGGGGCTAACTGATCAGGACTGAGACCCGAGTGATGATGAAAAGGGAACCACCTGAGGGGCTGCTCTCTGGGAGAGGGGAGGCAGGCTCAAGCTTGAGCAGGTGGGGGAGAGGAGCAGGGCCAAGGCAAGCCCTTAGGTTGACTTTTTGTTCTAAGAGCAGTGGGAAACCATGAAGGGTGTGAGGTAGGAGGGTGGTGGCAGTATTTTCTGAGCTATTGTGGGGTGCGGGGGAAGACAAGGGTAGTAAGATAAAAAGAGAGGGACTTTTGATGACTTTTCATTGTGTGGCTAGGATATCTGAAAGGTGGGGGCTGCTCCCTGCTGAGCAGGGCTGGGAAGGCAGGGCAGCGAAGGCGTGTGTCGGACATGTTAAGTTAGAGATGCTTATTAGACACCCGGGAAGCTGTCAGCAAGGCAGTGGGCCATGGGGCCAGACCTGGCCCCAACACATTATGAGCATATAGGTGGCATTTCAAGTCTTAGGCACCTGGGAGAGCAGAGAGCAAGACAAGGGCATTTAATGACATGGGCTTTTCTGGAAGGAGATGAGCACAGCCAGAGGGTTTGGATTGAAACTGCCTAAAAGTGCTGTGCTTCCTTAACCAGCCCGCTCCTGGCCAGGCATCCAGGGCCCGAAAGTGAGCAGAACCTGCTGCTCAGTGCGGACAGCCCAGGGCGAGTCTCCTCGCCCGGCCCTGGGCACTGGGCATAGATTCCTGGGCCCAAATACAACCCACTGAAACAGAGTGCCCAAGGTGTCTGCATTTTCCAGTTCCCTGGGTGAGTCTTTGCACATGGAGGTGAGAGAGAGAGAGAGAGAGAGAGAGAGAGAGAGAGAAAGGGTGCAATTTCCTCTTTCCTCTCCGAGGGTGGGGCTGCTCCAGAATTCAGGAAAGCAGTCTGTTCTGTTAGCTCTGCTGTGTGTGTGTGTGTGTGTGTGTGTGTGTGTGTGTGTGTGTGTATGCGTGTGTGTGTTGGCATGCATGGGGGGCGGGCACGGTGTCCCAGGAGGACAGAGTTTGCATTGATGAAAACCCTTCCCAGCCCTTTGATACCTCTTTCCCGCCGCCCTGAAGTTAACCAGCTCAGTCCTCGGTGCATCCCGCTCGCTGGCCACACTCACTCGGCCCAGGATGGCATTCTGTCTGACCCTGCGCATGGCGCTACTGCTCCTCTTCGGGGTCCTAGCCCCTGCGGTGCTCACAGGTAAGGTGCTCCCTTGGGCCCAGGGGGCAGAGGTCCTGCACAGCAGATGGGGCGGCCTCTGGGGCGAGTCAGCGGAGGCTCCCATGAGACAGATGGCCGCAGTTGGGAACTGGCAACCACGGGACAGTGGCCCTGAAGCAGGGCCAGGAACGTTAGCTGCTTGGGGGACAAGGGGATTACTCCTGTACCTAAAATCTGAAAGCTCCCAGGTCTAGGAGTGAGGAGGGGGCACCAGGCCCAGGGTAAGTGGCTGAGAAGCAAGAGACCCTGGGCCCCTGGACAGAAGACCCGGACCCTGCCGTTTACTTTTCAAAGCCTGCATGCCTCTCTGCTGATTTTCTGAGAAGTCTTTCAAGAGCGAAGCCCCAGGGGCTAGTTCTGTATCAGGAAATAGTCCTGTATCAGGGGGAGTGCAGGGCTGGAGACTCCTCAGAAAACTGAGGATGTGGGACTCAGGCTCTGCACGGAGGCCAAAATGTCTGGGTCTGGTGTCCAGCGAGAAGGAGAGTCACGACAGGCTTGGGTGGCAGCTCCCAGACCTCAGCCCCACCTGGGCATGGCTGTGGGGCCCCGAGCTGGGGCTGGCCCAGGCTGGCTTCAAAGCCTGAAAGGAAAGGCACACCTGGGTTACGGGTGGGCTTTCTCCTGGAAGAAAGTGATCTCTGACGTAGCCAGAGAGCAGTGTTTCAGAGCCCGGGCAGGGGTCCTGGAGCGAGACCCTCCCTGCAGCATGGGCTCTGGGGGAAGGTCCATGGGTCTGTGGGGGAGGCAACTGGAGAGCAGGTGAGTAAGCAGGGCCCCGGGGAGAGCCGCCTGTGGGTCAGCCACACGCTCAGGCACACGGGGGAGTCCCGGGTGATGGTGAGGAGCTTCAGATGCCCTAGGAAGAAGCTAGCAGCCTGGCTTTGCTTCGAGCCTCTCCAGGCTGTTCCTCAGCCTCGGTCCCTCCTTATCTGTACAGGGTGACAGCCATGGTGCCTCTGCCTCCCTCACGGGATGGCAGGCCTACCACGTTCAGACACCAGGATGGGCCAGGCATCAGGCAATGCTCAGTTCCTGTCACCGACCACATGTAAACGTCCCCAGCCCCTCCACTGGGTGCAGGGTGGTCTCGGGGCAGAAGCACCCCTTCGCACAGGCTGAGAGAGCACCTCGATCCCTTTTGGTGGGAGAGGTGCCCAGGAATTGGGGAAGTGACCTAAAGTGTCAAGTGGCACCTCCCATGGTCTGGTTCTTCTTGCAGACCCTCTACCCCACCCCCATGAAATGCTTCTCCCACTGGTGGGTCCAGGGCTGCCTGGGACACTCTTGTCCAGTTTCCTGCGCTTCGCACAGCCAATTCTCCCGGCCCAGGCCGCCGGCCAGAGACGCTGGGTCACACTGTGCGTACACAGCCTGGGTGGGTGGGCTTCGCCCTCCACCACAGGAATGCTTGAGGGGACAGCCTCGTGTTTAGCGTCACCGGGATCTCACGTGGCCTCACCTCCTTCCACATATCCTACCAAGAGGGGCAGGCCAACCTTCTCAGGGTTCTGGCTGGCTGTCCTTCTTCCTGCCATTCTGGGAGGTGTGTACCACGCCTGGCAGCCCCCTGCCCGCTGCTCGGTGGGTGGGGGGCCCTGGAAGGAGCAGCCTGCTGCCCTCCCCACTGGTCGCCTGTGGCCACAGCTACAGGGGCAAGGGGAGCAGGCCAGGTTGAGCGGGCGGGAGGCCAGGACAGGGATGAAAAGGCCCTTCATGGCCGTACAAAGGCCGTCTGTGAGCACGGGCGCCTGGCCTCGGGGCCCTGTGGTCAGAGTGAGCACTAAACAAACTTATTTACTGAAAGGCAGGGCGACTGGGGCGGTGGGGCTGGGGGCGAGCCCACAGTGCCCAGGCCTGTGTCACGAGGCCCCATGCCTCCTGGTTTCCTCGGTCAGAGCACGAAGTCGCAGAGCCTTGTTTACTCTGGTCCTTGCAGTTTGGGCCTTAACATCACTGTGGCTGACTCACAGCTCTCCTTACAGGCCCATGGGTTCCATCTCTGTGCCTTTGCCATGCTGGTCCCCTGCCTGGCATTCCTTCACCTCTGCCCAAACGTGGCTGTTGCTGGCACCCTCCTGATGACTGCTTGGGGGTGCTGGGTGGGTTATTGCCTTTAAACCTTGTTTTCCCCGAATACGACAGCAAACTGAAAAAATACAGAGGCGTATAAATGAGGATAAGAAAGTGAGCTGGCCCTTCCCTGGCCACTGCACCTCCTTTGCTGGGGGCTGGGGGCTGAATCTAGGCTGCCCCTGGGGCATATGCCTGGGTGGGCAGGGAGCTGGCTGGCCCCTGGGGATCCACTGCTTTGGCACAGATGAGCCCTGGAGCAGCCTTTGGGGGTCTCCTGAGAGAGTCCGCTGCAGCAGGCACAGCACACGGAGCGACCTGGCCTGTGTCCAGCCGTGCAGCTCATGCCAGAGGGAGGCTTCCCGATGATGACAATGACAGCATAGTTACTAACTGTGCGGCTGTGAGAGGCATGGTCCAGCCCTGGTTCTCAGGTCGGTAAAGTGAAGTGGACGGTGAAGTCAGTCTGCCTGGTCCCTGGGTGAGAGCATGAAGGAGCAGGATTTGCAAGCCCAAGGGCTTAGCTCCTGGAGCCTCAGGGACTGGTTGGTCTTGGAGAAGAGGCTGGAGGAGGGTACACTTAGCAGGGACGAGGCAACCTGGGCCAGTGTGTCTGACAGGGAGGAGTCAGGCCTCTGTGGGGAGCAGCAGAGTGAGGCTGGTCACTGGGGAGACAAAGGAAGAGAGGTTCTGGGTGCACAGCCCAGCCGCCCTCCTCAGGAGCCCACTCTCCCCAGAGATGGCTCCCAGGGTCTGGCAAAGGACAGGGGTGGCTAGCTCCAGGGAGTAAGCCCCTGTTCTCCCAAGGGCCATAGTGTCTGGCACTCCTCCTCCTGAGCTCAGAGTTGATTCCCCAGATGCCACCCAGGTCGGCTGGGCTAGGTATCCAGGAGCCCTTTGGCGGCCTCCCTGGCCAGGTGCCCAGCAGCCGGAGGTGAGCTTCGGCTAGCAGTGGTGGGACAGGGCGGTGCCTGCCTGCCGCCCTGTCTTGGGTGTGTGGGGAGCTAGTGGGAGTCAGTGGTTTCTCCATTTATCTTGGGAGACAGACATTCTTCAAGCCCTAGACCTCAGGGTCTGCCAAGCAGTGGGCACTCTCAGGCCTTTTCTGAGGTCAGTATGCCTGGAGCCTGGAGCCACCTGGGGCCTGGTGCCTTACGTGGCAGCTTCAAGGCTATAGGCCCCTGACCTTCCAGACAGTGACAAAGGAGGCCTGATAGGGTCACTTTGTCCCCCTCACAGGGACAACTTCACAACTGGGGGGGCCGGGGGGCCCCAGACACAGTGCTGTAGGTGAGCCTTGGGCCCTGCTTGCCGCCATACCATTGGGTGCTGGGGCCTTTTGTCCCTGGAGGCCTCCCTGCCAGGGGAGTTTTCTGAAAAGGGACACCAGCTTGGTCAAGCCTTGGGGAGTGGGACAGTTGGTTCCTGCCTGCAAACCAAGCCTTGAAACTGAGCCAGCCCGGGCCTGGGAGAGGCTGCAGGGGCAGGGCTAGGGGGCCTTATACAATTTCATTGGGAAAAGATTTTAAGTTTACAGAAAAGTTGCAAGAATAATCCAATGACCAGTATATTCTGCACTTGGATTCACCAGTTTCCAACATTTTGCCATATTTGCTGTCTTCCTGTCTCTCTCTACCCACCTTCCTATCTGTCTGGATGCTGAACTATTTGAGAGTAAGTTGTAGAATGCCCCTTTGTGCCTAAATATGCCCAAGAACAAGGGGGTTCTCTCACATGTCCACACTGGGAAATGAACACGGATGCAGCACTGCTATGTAAACCACAGCCTTACTCAGCTTTCGCCAATGGACCCGAACTGTCTTTTATAGCAGCCCCTCTGCCCCATCCAGGAACATACGCTGCATTTAGCTGTCACCGTCCTTGGTCTCTAATCTGGAACAATTCCTCAATCTTCCTTTGTCTTTCATGACCTTGACATTTTTGAAAACCCAGTTATGTTATAACTGACTCCGAATTTGGGCTCGGTTGATGTTGCCCTACGGTTTGCCCCAGGTGGGCACTGTTGGCAGGAAAGGCCGAGAACTATCCTTGCATCTTTCCAGAGCATCCCTGGGTCAGTCAGGATCAGGTATGGCGGGAGCCTGGAGCCTGCCTGCCACCCTGGTCTTGAACTTTCCTGGGTGGCTGGGACGCCTGTTGAGGAAGGATGGATGGGCCCAGGGAGGGGGTGGTGCTGTGGGGCTGCTCGGGGCCAAGATCCTTGGGGTGGGGGTTGGGTATTGGCATGAGCTGCCTGGGGCCGAGCTAGGGTATAAGGCTGGGGTTATCACACAGGCCTCTCAGCCTTGTCCCTTCAGTTCTTTGGGGCCCTGGGTACCCGAAATCCTTGCTAACCCCCACCCATGAGCAAAGAAAGGCTCCTGCAGACTCTGATGGCTATTGAGTCTCAGCTTGTATGGGGGCAGGGGGACCACCGACACCCCTCTGGGTCTGTTCTGTCTGGAGACAGTATGTGCTGGGCTTAGTTCCTTGGGGTAGAGAGGCCCCTTGGGCTTTGAGAAGCAGACACACATGGGCGTGTGTGGGTGCTGGACCCCATGTCCTGTGTACTGCATGGCTTCACCCAGGTGAGGGCCAAGGAGAAGCAGGGCTCTCAGTTGCCTCACCTGTGACACGGAAGGCTGGAGTCGTGCTGGTGAGCCCCAGGGCCCCGAGGACAGGGCCATCTCCCCGCGGGGAGCCATTCCTGGAGGCAGCCTGGGCCCAGCGCCTGTGCTTGGCCTTGCAGCGGAGGACCCGCAGGAGCCCGTGCCCACCCTGTGGAACGAGCCGGCCGACCTGCCCTCGGGAGAAGGCCCCGTGGAGAGCACCAGCCCTGCCCGGGAGCCCGCAGCCACCGGCGCCCCGGCCCCCACCGCCCCACCCAGCCCCGAGGACAGCACCGCGCGGGAGCGACTGGACCCCGGCAGCGGTACGAGGCAGCCTAGGCCGTGGAGGGGGACAGGGAGGGAGGGAAGGCGGGGAGCGAGGCCGGCCGGGCTGACCAGCCCTCCTCCTGTCCTGCAGGCTCGCTGGGGCCCGGCGCCATCGCGGCCATCGTCATCGCCGCCCTGCTGGCCACCTGCGTGGTGCTGGCGCTCGTGGTGGTCGCGCTGAGAAAGTTTTCCGCCTCCTGAAGCGAATAAAGGGGCCGCGATCCGCCGGGCGCGCCCGTGTCTTCCGTGTGTCCAGCGTGAGTGTGTGGCGGGCGGGCGGGCGGGGCGGGCGGCAACTCGCGACACGGGCGCCTGTGTGCACGTGGCCGGCGCCCGCAGGAGCCGCGGGGTGCGGAGCGGGGTGCTGCCGGCCCTCGGAGCAGAACACCCTCCCTTCCTGCCCCTCCGCCTTGGCCCCCAGCCTTCGAGCACCGACAAGTGGGAGACCAGGCCGGGAGGGGGCGGGGGTAGGGCGGCCAGGCCATCGCGGGGACCCCTCTACCCCAGGGAGCCCCAGGAGCTGGAAGAGCCGAAGAGTGAGGCGCTGTCAGCCTGGCCTGGTCCCCCACCCACAGTCCCAGGCGGCCCCCAGGCCGGGCTTCAGGCAGCCAGGGCTTCCAGGCGCCCCACCCCGACCCCGCCGCCTCCTCCCCCTCCTCCCCCTCCTCCCCAGCTTGGCCCTGGCCCTCTGACCCTGCTCATGCTCTGTCTCCACGCTCCCCAAGGAGCCCAGCGTTTATAATTCGGAGAGAGATTATAAATAGCGGCTGACCAGCCCTGGGCGCAGCAGGGAAGCCAGAACTGCGACCTGCCCCTGCCCCCGCCTCCCAGGGGCCTTTGGGAGTGGGAAGCCCCGGAGAGAGATTGCTATCACCCGGCCTGGGAGGTCCCTAGCGTGGTGCTCGTGGCAGGGAGCGGTGCCTCCTCCTCCCCACCATTTTCTCTTCAGGTACTTGGCCTCTTTGGTTTCCCTGATCTCCTGGATACTCCAGATGAGCACACGTGGTCCCCCCACACACTCTCCCCAAAACACTTAACGGGTTACAAGTTTCTGCTTATAAAGGACTGTTATGAAACTGACCAGTTTTCATGAAACTGTTTAAATCACATAACCTCCAGTGGCCAAAGCCCTCCTCGGAGCAGAGGATCCAAGTCAGCATGTGGTTTCCCAGCTTCAAAAAGAGAGCTGGACAAGGGCCAGGACCACTGGACGACTCCCGCCACTCTTTATCCCCTCCGCTCCCCCCAGCAGCATGGGGCTCAGAAACGGCCCCTCTTACCCTTCCCTCAGTCTTGGGGCCTCAGGTGTGGCTCCTGGACCAGGGGTGCAGCACAGAGCATCAATCCCTCCCCAGCTGAACAAGTGGGTTGCAAGCGTGTGCATCTTGCAGGATTCATGCAATTCTCAAAGGATCTGAGGTCTCAAGAGCCCCGAGTCATGCTGTGGCCCGTGAGAAGCCACAAAGCCCCATTGGATCTAAACCTCGGGCTTCTAATCAAGGGCCAGTTCTGGTGCAGAGGACGGTGTGTCCTGGCAGAAAGAGCATGGTCCTAGGCCAGGGGCTGGGTGGTCAGATTCAGGCCCGTCCACACTCCAGGACAGAACCAGGGGTGATGGTGGGGTGGCTGAGGGCCAGCTTGGCTGGTGGAGGAGCTGCAGCCTCTGGCTAACTGGCTACTGCCTCCACAGGTGGGAAGACGTGCCCAAGGCCAGGGACTGGCCAGGTAGGAAGCCCCAGCCCCGTGCCTGGTGGTCAGATTCCCTGTGGGACTGCCACACACTGACACCTCAGTCCCACTGTGGTCTTCCAAACCCAGGTTCTCACTTTCACTGCGGCAGAAGGGCGTCTCCAACTCCCTCAAACATCCGTTTCTGTTTCTGGAGTCCTTGAACAAGTAGAGGCCCTTATCCTGGCTGCTCCCTTCTCCACTAGAGGCCTCCTCAACCCCCTCCTTCAGGATATACCTCCTCCACTGACCTTGAAGGAGGCTCCTCTCTCCCTGCCCCAAACCGAACACCTCATTCCTGTGTGCAGCAGGGAAATAAAAAAGAACTTCACCTTCTTTATTTTATACATGATGCTTCTTTTAATGCAGCCAAAACATGGTATTTGCTTTTCTTGGAACCACAACTGATCAGGATGCAGTGACTAGTTCATTCCTTACAATACCTGGGCTCCTTAAGGGGCCAGAAGACATGTTACATCCAGCCCATCAGGGAGCCGGAGGCGGCACGGGCCCTCTGCCAAGCTCTGGTAGGCCTGCCACGAGGCAGGGTCTGGCCGTGCAGCCAGAGGCTGGAAGAGGCAGACAGAGGCAGTTGGTCTCTTAGTCTTGTAAATTGGAGACCCAGGGCCGCTCATCAAGCTCATCAGGCAAGGGCAGTCCATCTGCATGCCTGGTGGATTCTAATGGCTTCCAGGGTAGAGAAGGACACGTGCAGGGGTTCGTGACAATCATCACCTTTGCACCTGCCCTGGGCCAGGGACACCCTGGGTCTGGGGTTCTTCCAGTGCTGGGGGGAGGCCCCTGGAGCATGCCAGTCCCCTTCCACCCCCTCTAAGAGACAAGAGGGAGAGGTGGTATAATACTGTTTAAAATACATTTCTCATTTATAAATGCATCAGAGGAAAGATGTGGGCACCCTTTTTTCCAGTTTACAAGCAGGGGGCCAAGACATGTGAGCATTCACCACGTGGCCGGGCTGAGGGGCCAGGGTGACTCCTGCACAAGGTCACCTTCCCCCAGCGCCCTCCACGGTCAGTGCGTTTGCCTGCCAGGCCCAGCTCCCACCTGCCTACCCACATCCCCCTGCTGGACTGGGGGCTGGGGGAGGGGTGTCACTGCCGATTCCGGCTGCCCAGCTTCCTGCGGTCCTTATTCTGACTGCGCTGAGGGTCATCCATCTTGTGCACACGGAAACATTCCTTGAGGTTTTGGGACCGAATCTTGGGATTCAAGATCTCCTCAGTCATGTTGCTGGGGAACCAGCCTCTCTCCTGGTCGTGCAGACGCTCACCAAAGATCCACCCTGCACAGGGAGGGGAGGGTCAGGAGCTCCTACAGGGGTCTGTCTGAGCCCTCCTGCTGGCACAGGAGCCCAGTGGGCCTTCCCAGAGGAGCCTGCTCAGAGAGCCCCTGCCAGAGACCCTCAGATTGGGTTTGCCTCCATATTCTGGGGAGGCACTGCCCTGACACCCTCCTAGGGAGCACAATATGTGGGCATTGCTGTGACGGAACCAGCTAGCTCTGTGCCACAGTGTGTCCCAAATGTATTGCCTTTGGAACCCATTCTCAAGCACTCAGTCATCCTAAGCTGTCCCACATGAGGCAGGGGTCCCCAAGGGCTTTCCCCAAAGCAAGAGGCATCCCAGTGGCTGGTGGGGGTGATGACTCATTGGTGGTTCCCGGGCCTGGAATGTCACATCACCCTCTTGCTGGGCATCCCTCTCTGAGCCTCCCGAGGGTCCGGTGGTCAGCTGAGGGTGGCCGTCATGAACTGGCCAACCCCAGCACAGGGCCCTGGCTGTCCCCCTCCCCCAGAGATCACCTGCAGTACGGGGTTCCTGGCAGGTCCCAGAGCAGGACAAGGACCTGGCCATGTGGGAAGGCTGTTGGGCTGTTTTATTCTGGGGGAGGGGTGGAGGGAAACACTGCTCTTTCAATGCCAGGTGAGGCCCTGGAGTTTGGGACCAGCAGCAATCCCCTGGAGGTCACCAGCCCGAGGCCTTCTAGCCAGGACCTCCAAGGGGAAGAGGAGTTAGGGGAGGGGAGATGCTCCGTGCTGTTTTGGGGATTCTGATGAAGAACAACTGATGTAGCAATAAGGGACCAGTGTTTCAGGGGAGGGGAGGGAACCTCATTTGGTGCTGACACCGTCGACAGGGCTGGGTGGGAGCTGGGTGGGTGGCTTCTTGGCCCACACAGGGCTCTGAGCCTGGTGGTTAGGGCTCACCTGGAAGCTTGTGGCAAATACGGAGTTTAGAGTTAGGGTCACAGGTAGGGTGAGGGTGGTGGGCCAAGCCCAGGGCCATCGAGGGGAAGGTGCAGAACAGGTTCTCAGGCTGGGCCTGGTGTGAAGGGGAGGTGGACCTCATGGGTTGGGGGAAGGAGAGCAGAGGCCCTGGGAGAAGCACCTTCTCTGGGCTGAGGAAAAACTGGGGAAGCCAAGATGGGCAGAGAGGTCTAGGGGAGCAGAGACGTGCCAGGTCCTGGGCTCGGCTACCCATCCACCAGCTTCTCCACCTGGGGCTGGTGCCAGTTGGGTGCAGAGTCCTGGGTGCACGAGTGAGCAACACGGCCCAGCCCCTGCCTTACCGTCTTCCGTCTTGTCCAGGATGTTAAGGATGTCTGCCAGCTCCAGTGTCAGCTCGTCTGGCTGCTGGGCCACGTACGGGTGCACGCACTGGACCTGGGGGCAGTCTGAAGGGAGGGAGGGAGGTGGCACATCCCCCTCATCCATCACCGCCCTGCCCCCACCCAGCACACCCTGGACACGGCCCTGCAGTTAGTAGGGACACACTGCCCTGCAGTTAGTAGGGATGTGCTGCCTGTCTTGCAGCAACTGAAGAGAAGTCACTTGAGGGAGGGGGTTTGGCTCCAAAGAAAATGAGAGGAAAATAGCTGGGACTCGGATAAAACATTCCACCCATAAAGGGTTGACAGGTGGTGAGGGCTCCTATTTGAGGCTTCAGAAAGACCTTCTTGAGCTTGGACGAGGCCCTGGGAGCAAGTGTGGGATGCTCAGGACACGGCGGACACTGACACACAGGGCAGCTGCTAGCAGGCAGCTGGACTGGGGCCCTTTTGCATTTTGTATGGTTTTCAGACAACTGGCAACCCCAAAGAACACGGGCGTCTGCCTTCTGGGCCCAGACTCCTCCTGGTTTCCAAGTGACACTCCTTCAGTCACCTCCAGTGTCTGCAGGGATGGGCACACTGATAGCCCCCATTGGGCACGAAGCTAGCAGCTGGCAGTCAAAGTGGGCATCCTAGAGGCCACACAGGCCTCTGGGAAGATGGGCTCGGGAAGCATCTGGGGCTGATGCCAGGGAGGCCTCCCCTGTCCTGCCCAGAGGTGTCCTGGTCCCAGAGGGCCACTTACCCAGCAGCCGGGACGTGAAGGAAACAAACTTCGTTCTCCGGTTGGGGGCCAGAGAGGTCATCCAGCGCTTCATCTCACTCCTGGGACGGGGAGAGGACACATGCCCCAACCGCAGAGCAAGGGCCCCAACCGCAGAGCAAGGGCCCCCGCAGAGGCGTGGCGTCAAGTGCCCAACAAGCCCGCTACTCAGTCCTGAGCTGGCTCAGGGCTCCAGCAGGACAGGCGCCCAGAAATCAGCGAGCGGCTGGGGAGCCTGACAGAATCCCCCCCATGTACTTTACAAAGTCAGTTGGTGAAGGTGAGCCTTGTGCAAACCCCAAAGTTAACCCATGAAAGCGTGCTCGGCAGGGGTCGGCAGCCCAGAAGCCATGACCTGTCAGCAGTGTCAGTTGTGCGGGGGGGGGGGGGGGGGGGGGACGGGGACGGGGACTGGAACAAAGAAGGTGAAGGGATTTGCCAAAAGGGGGGTGGGGGTAGGTGGAGGTGGGCCAAGGGGGTGGGGACGGAAGGAGACTGCGCTGGGGCGGTGGGAGCACGATGCAGTGTGCAGATGACGTTTTGTTGAATTGTAACACTTGAGACCTGTATGGTTTTGCAAACCAATGTCATCCCAATAAATTTTTAAAAACCTGTCAGCTGGGGAAGGCCAATGTCATGCAGTGGGGACTGGACCTAGATGGACAGGGTGGCACCTGTGACTGTGGGGGTGAGAGGGTGTCTCCCCACATTGATCTTGGCTGTACCTCTCAGAGCCCTGGGCTGCAGGGCAAGTAGCCTGGCTGCTCAGAGAGGTGATGAAATGGGCCCTAGGCCACACAAGGATGGTTTGCTGGTCAGCCTGGCCCAAGGGTTCTACAACATCTCATTGGAAAAGAGGGCACGCCCCCCATCTGAGGCCCTGAGGGAACACACGTGTGTACACACACACACACACACACACACACTCACACAGCAATATGCTACACCTGACTAACCCCGGACAGAAACGCTCACCACAGGTCTGGGGGCGGGAGGAACAGGAACTGGGCGGGCCAAGTGCTGAGCCCTGGAGCCTTGCTCCACCTGGGCTGGTGACACGAGTGGGCACTCACTGAGAGGACGCCTTCAGCATGTAGGTGGCCTCCCGGTCGTCTGCGTTCTCGAGCAGCCGCAGAATGAACACGTTGGCCAGCGTCTGGCCCTGGTCCTCGAGCTCCTCCACGCGGAGCAGGCCTCGAGGGGCCGAGTCAAACACCTGGTACTTGTCTCTGGGGACCAAGGGTGGCAGGCGGGCATGTAGGTCCTGGAGAAGCCTAGGGGTCCCAGGGGACACCTCACCCTGGCCCCCAGGAGGACGGACCAGCCCCACCACTGCCACTCCTCACCCCCATCTCCAGGAGGCCCCACCTGAACTCCTGCTCCCCCCCTCCGACCGCCCCCCCCCCGCCCCGGCCTCCTGCCTCAAACCACCCCTCCCATGGTGTGGCTGGGGGAGCGGACAACACCACAGCAGCTGCTCTGTTGAGCACTCACTGTGTGTCAGGCGCTGGGCTGGCCTCTCCATATCCCTGTAAAAGCCTCATTCAGCAGGAGGGGCATCTGAGCCCGGGAGTTTTAAATTAACTTGCCCAAAGGCCCAAGGCTCAACAAGAACAGAGCTGACCTTCAATCTAACTGAAAGCCTGAGCTCCATGCACATCCTGCCGGCCTCCCCAGGCCATAGGGAACCATCTCCCCGTGTGCCCTCCCTGGGCTGCCCCCCAGAGCATGCTCACCCTCCCCACCCCCGAGCGCCAGCAGTGCCCGGAGCTCACCCAGGGATCTGCCGGCAGATCACCAGCAGGTCGTTGAAGAGGAAGAGGTAAATTTCCTGGAAGAGTTTCTTAGTCCGCAGGGTTCGGGAGGTCTTGGGGCCTGACATCTGCTGCAGCTCTCCCTGCTTCAGCAGCCAGCGGGAGTGGGAGATGATGGGCACCGACTGGGCGAGGGGGGGCGGTGTCAGACGGCTGTGCCCACGCCTGCCCGAGGCTCCCCCAGGGCCTTCAGAGGAGTATGAGCACGAGGAACAGCGTGCAAGGGCTGTGCTGGGCCCAGAGCACACGCAGTGCCAGTGGGAGGGAGGGGCGAGTCCTAGGCAAACGCGGGAGGGCAGGGTGTGTGTGTGGGTCTGTGTACATATGCACAGCTGTGTATGTGTTTGTGCCTGTGTGTGCAATTGTGAGTTATCTGTTGCATACGTATCTGTGCATGCTTCTATATATGTGTGTTTGTGTCTAAGTGTATCTACGTGTAACTACTGGCTGAGGCTGGTGAGGGGATCACACACACACAGAGGTGCCCACATGAACACCTGTGTGTGTGTGTGTGTGTGTGTGTGTGTGTGTGTGTGATCCTCTCACCAGCCTCAGCCAGTGCGATGCAGAACCAGAGCAGGGGCCAAGTTCGGAGGGAGAGGAGAGAACTGGGTTGTGTGAGGTCCCCACTTCGTGGCTCAGGGGCAGCCTCCTGGCACCCGGCTCAGCCTGGCAGGTGAAGGTATGTAGGGGTTCGCAAGGCCATGTCTGCATCCTCGACTGGGGCTCAGCCCCCAAACCCAGCACGACCTCAAGGACCCTTGGTGGGCACTGCATGTTCATGTGTCCACAGCACCAAAAATGCAGGCCCTGAGGTTCACTGATGCCTGAATCTTTACGCAAAGTTGGGGAGAAGGTTGGTAACTTTCCTGAGAATTTCAAACCTTCCAGCTTTAAGAATCCCTGGGCTGCTCCCTTTTAGGTACTTGGTGTAAATACACAGCCAGTATATGAGAGCAGGTGGCTGCAAGCTCCTTGCCCACCATCTCTCAGAAGACAGTCTAGGCCAGTGATGGCGAACCTTTTGAGCTCGGCGTGTCAGCATTTTGAAAAACCCTAACTTAACTCTGGTACCATGTCACATATAGAAATTTTTTGATTTTTGCAACCATAGTAAAACAAAGACTTATATTTTTGATATTTATTTTATATATTTAAATGCTATTTAACAAAGAAAAATCAACCCAAAAAATGAGTTCGTGTGTCACCTCTGACACGCATGTCATAGGTTCGCCATCACTGGTCTAGGCCCATGTGATGGCCTGCGACTAGGGGACCGGAGGGTGCCTTCCAGTTAGGGGCTCAGGGATGGCTTCTGGGAGGTGACACTGCACTGAGACTAGCGGTGGCCAATTGAGGATCCTGGCCAGAGACCCAGGCTCCAGACCAACTGGGCTGGATGGGGACACGCAGATGGGTGAGGGCTCACCTTGATCTTAAACTCCATCTTCTTCTGAATGCTGATCATCTGCTCCGTGCGGCTCATTTTCCTGACGCCCTCGTTGCATGCTTTTACCACCTGGGATGTAAAGCAGGACACATCAGGTCCCCTGCAGCCCACTGCTCCTGGTCACTTCCTGCTGGCCACTCAGGCGCCAGAGGGCTGAACAATTGCTGTGGTCAGACAGTGCGCCCACAGCTGAGACTGAGCGGCCAGTCTGAATCAGGCTGGAGCTCTCCTTCTCTAGCACCTTCTGGGACAAAGGCAAAGTGGGAAAACTTGTCAGGCTGTTAGAAAGCAAATTTAAACAATAAGATGTCCTTAGTCATTTGTCAGACTGGAAAAGGCAAGGCTCCAGGCCGGCGAGGTGTGGGGACTGAGACCTGTCGCACACTGTGGGGGAGTGAGGATCCCCCTCCTTCCCGGGAGGCATTCTAGGTACCAAGAGGTCTAAAAAATGCAGTTCCTGGGACTTCTGGGGACTCATTATGGAGAAACCTTCTGCACTGGGTCGCTGGTATCTAGAACAGAGCCCGGCGCCCAGCAGGCACTCAGGATTTGTGAATGAGGATGGTGCCCAAAGATGTGTGGACTAGGACGTTCCCTGCAGGTGAATAAGAAAAACCGTCATCGACCTAAATGTCCACCAACTGGAATTGATTACTGCTAATATAGCCGTATTACCAAGTTCTCTAAAATCATTAAAAATTGCAGAAACTTTACAAATGCGCTAAAATGGAGAGCAATGCTGGCTTATAGGACACAATCTCCTTTTTGCAAAGAATACAATCGTGTGTGCATGTGCCTGTTTGGAAGGTCTGGAGGGCAACACCAGCATGTCAGCAGTGTTTTGGTAGAGCACCATCTGAAATGTTTTGTATCGAGCATCAACTGCTTTTACACATTAGACAAAAACCTTTGCAAAAAGAGCAACTTATGAGAAATAGGAGTATAACTTCCGTTAAAGGACAGGAAAGGGAGAGGACAGTAGAAAAGAACTTAAGCAGGCACCTGGGCCTCTCACAGGCCTCGGTGGTCACTGGACTCATCTTCTGTGACCCAGTGTGGTCAGCTGCCCCGTGGGGCTGTAATAAACTCCCATCTGATCGGGTATGTACGTTCAGAGGTGAGCACAGGGCCTGGAAGATGCTGCCTGACCCCGAGGTCACTGCCCTCCCCAACCAGCCTGCCCAAGGCTCCCGCTTTCCCCCACTGGCCTGCGAAGAGGGACTGTTTTCTAATGTGCAAAGGGTGCAACTGCCAGAAGGACATGAGGCGAGTCCAGAGAAACCACTGCATTAAGTTCCAAAGTCCTGGTGGCTCAGTGTGGCTTGGAACCACCATCAGACGCTCACTGAGGCTCTTCCTTTTACGGAGCTGCTGTCTCTGGTACAAGGAGTGGAAAGGGCTTCCCAGCACCCATGCTTATCCTCTGCGGGGTCACCAGCATGACAGAGTGGCCACCCCAGCCCCACACAGCTGCCAAGGACCGGCCCGCAGCTCCAGCTGACACACTGGAGACAGCACTTTAGACAAGAAGGAGCCGCGTGAGCCCAGCACGCGAGACCGGCATGTTCATCGGCCCTTCCCGCACAAGCTCTACTCTGCGGGCAACTGCCAGGAGGAAGTGCTCTCTCCAGGGTCAGGAGCAGAGATGGTGTCTCCACTCCCGGGCTTGGCAGGCCCCTGAGTCCTCTCATAGAGCGAGGGCAGCTGCAGCCTGGGGGACAGGGAAGCTGTGGAGGCAGGGGCTCAGGCTGAGCTCCATCCACCAGGCTCGGGAGAGCCAGCCCAGCCCCTGAGAGTCACAGGAGGGAAGACACGGGAAACAGGCAAGGACAAGCGTGGGGCCTCCCAGGGCCCCAGATGCCTGCATGAGGGAGCTGACGAGGCGCACCGGGCCTGTGGGTGGTGCCGAGGTCAGCATGGGGAGAGCGCTGGGCTGCTGCCGAGTCTACCCCGCACATCATCAACAGTCGGGGTGGAGAAGGAAGACAGTGTGCTCTCTGCGCAGGACACACCTGACCCAGGGACTCTTCTGGATTCCAAAACCCAACACTAAATTAGTATGCATTCCCCAAAGACACACTGGCACGCGAGGGAGCAGGAGCAGGAAGGCAGGAGTGGACGAGGAAGCAATTTACTGGGAAAAACAGAGAGAACGCATGCTCACCAGTTCCAGTTCCTTGTGGGCGCCCAAGGCAGTGCATTCAGGCTCAGACCTCTCCTCCACCCTCTTCAGGATGTTCTGAGCACAGGAGAGTCGGCATGAGTTTCCATAACGGCCATTCCTCCCCTCTCCGCTCCCGCCCTCCCTTTGCAGTGGTGGCCTCATTGCTGCACCAGTCCAAACAGCCTCTTGTTGCTGCGACACCCACACCCACGTACAAGCAACCCTACCAGGTGACAACAGAGGGCAGAACCCTCAGCTGGGCCGGGGGCCGAGCATCCTGACTCAATGCCCTGCCTGGCTCTAAACTGGTAACCACAGGTCAGTCTCCTATGAGGACTAACCCTGAGGGCCAATCCAGAGCCTGGCACCTCACTGCACAGCAAACATCAAAGCAAAGGAGGCGACCAGGTGCTGGTGGGGAGGACAGGTCCAGCAGGGAGGGACCGGAGGTGATGCAGACCTGAGGGGAGCTCCATGCTCATGGCAGGCGCCAGGGGCTTCCCTCCCCCTCCGCTGGGATTTGAAGCCAAGTCGCAATAACCCCAAAGCTTTCTTGACTTTGGTCTTATTGATCAAAATGTCTGTTTTCTAATTGTTAAATTCTCTTGAACTATCAAAAAATGATGCTCACGTTGCCTTTACCTATAGATGACAGTCTTTGCTTTGCTCTCCAAACTTTGCATGGTTTCTGCCTCGCAGTCCTGTGTCTATGGTTTTGGACCCGCTCGGTCCCCTGGGGAGGTTTGGGTGTGTCGGCGCACAGTCCTCTGCCAGCTGCCCCGTGCAATGGCTGTCCGAACAGCGCTATTGACCACTCCGTTCCTTCAGACACCTGGACGGTGGCATGCCTTTTCGCCCTTCACACGATGCTCAGCCTCCCTCTGAGACCAGACCAGATCCAGATCCTTGCTGCCTCTGGCATCTCTCAGCCACACCGCCACAGCCTCCTGTGTGGTCACCTGCCCAGCTCTGTCCGCAGCCAAGCCAGAGCCTGCAGTCATCCCAAGCGCTTCCTTGCACCCTCACCAACATGGGGCCACCAAACCTTGCTATTAATGGTTCCCCGTGCCCAAGTCAGCATGGTTCAGGCCCCACCTTTTCCTCGGGAATAACACTCCCACCCTGCGCGGGGCCTCATGCTGAGGGTGGTGCGGCTTCTCAGCCAGGTGCACGGGACCTTCACGCTAGCTTCCTCTCCGTTCCTTCTGGGCACGGTGTGTCCCAGCGCTGGGTCTCCGGGTTCCTTTCTGTCCTTCCTCAATGGTCTCACTCTTACATGCCATCTCCGTGCTGAGAACTCCAGCCCCTACTTCTCCCTTTGACTCTAAACCTGAACATTCAACTGCTCAAAGTCATCTCAAGCTCAGCTATTTCAACATGAACCTGGGCTGCTCCCCAGACTGTCCTCCCCACCTCCGGAAGCTGCTCAAACTAGAAGGTTCTCCTCTTCCTTCCTACTCCACAGAAGCAAGTCCCAGGCTCAATTCACTCGCTTCCCTCCAGGACCCTTCCACTCTCCACCCTCCATGCCAGCCATGCCATCCTCCTTTTTTTAATTGCTTCCTAGCCCCTTCTCCCATGTTCACTCTTGCCCTCCTGCTCATCACCCTCCTCATGGTGGCCTCTGTGTGATCAGGTGAATCCCTGTCACACTGAGGACAGAGCCCAATGTTTTACCTGGCCTCTTAGACCCCCTGTGATTGGTCTCTGCCTACATCTCCACACGCACTCCCCTCCTACTCCCCCAGCTTTTCACTGGCCTTCCTGTCTGTGCACCTGGCTGCCCCAGGGCCTTTGCATAAGCTGTTCTATCACTTGAATGGCTCCTGCCTGTCAGCCATCTCTCAGCTTAAATGTCACTCATTCGAGACTCTTTCCTGACCCTCCAATTGGCAGTGGCCAGGAAGGCACCCAATTATGTTACCCAGTTTCACTGTCCTCATCGCCATGACCACTTCCTGGTTGTGTGTTTGTTGATCTCTCCTACCCAAGCTCCTTGGCACACAGTAGGAGTTTAATTAGGGCTGTGGAACAGACTGAATGCCCGAAGGAAACAGGTGTGCGGCAGAAGTATACACAAGCCCCACCTGCCGGTCGGGCGGGAGAGGCAGTACCTGCACCAGAAGCTTGAGGCGTGTGATCCTCTGGAAAGGCAGGATGAGGAAGGAGGAGAGAGGCAGTCCCCTGCACTTGGGGTCGAGCTCCAGCTGCGCGATCAGTTCCCGAAAGGCCGCCTTCTCCTGGCTGGGGACACGGACACGGGAGTAAGTCTCTGGCTCCCCACCCACAGCCTCATGGGAACCAGAGAGCCCACGGGCACCAAACGCCCATTGCTTGATTTGTTTATTTATTTTAATGTAAAATAGCGGCTTCACATGCCTGGCCCACGAAGACTTGGCCGAATATGCTGCATGTGGGAGGGCAAGTCTATGAATCAGATGCACAGCCGGGTGGTTTACCCAGCAGGAACCCGTGGCGAGGTGAACCCACGTAGTGACAGGAACAGGCAGCAGCTGGAGGCCACTGCCAGGAACCTGCGCTCCTCCTGCAGGTGGAGGCACCTCGTCTGCAGATGGGCTCGGCCCTGGGCCAGGTCCACAGCTGGCCTGCAGCTGACGAGGGCACCAGGAAACTGCCGCTGGAGTTAGACTCAAGCCCTCTGGAGGGACATGGACCCTCTGCCTGGGGCTCGAGCCCAAACAGTCTGCACTTGCAGCCACACCAGTGTACCCGTGGGCATTGTGATACCTGGATTCCTGTCCTCCTGGAAGCCTGTCTTCTCATGTCGGTGCTCAAAGCTGGCTTCCGATTTCCTCCAATCCCAATTTCAAATCCCAAACATAACCCCCCCCCCCCCAATACTCCAGCTTTAAAACATCCACAGTGGGGATGACAGGGTTTGGCAGACAGGCCCGGGGAAGTAAGTGTGGCAATCACGTCACTACCCAGCAAATTCTTGCATGCCCCATCTAAGAACACATCCCTGGTTACACTGCCATGATGCCCGGCATAGGAATGCAAAGGATTCAAAAGAGGCAAGTTGAGCCCTGGCTGGTTTGGCTCAGTGGATAGAGCGTTGGCCTGCGGACTGAAGAGTCGTGGGTTCAGTTCCGGTTTAGGGCACATGCCTGGATTGCGGGCTTGATCCCCAGTGGGGGATGTGCAGCCGACCAATGATTGTCATCATTGATGTTTCCATCTCTTTCTCCCTCTCCCTCCCTCTCTGAAATCAATAAAAAAATATGTATTTTTAAAAAGAGGCAAGTTGACTGAAAAAGTATTTTGTCAACTGAAATGCCAAGAAAATTTCCTAAATGGGTAGATTCGCAAGAAATTCAAGGGCGTTGCTGGGTAGCCACCAAAGAGACTTCCTCCTGCCCATCCTTGTTTTGTCTCTGGTTCAAATCACTTTCCTGCCATCCTGGCCTCAAGCTGTCCTCTTGGCCTCAAACTCTCTTTTCTACACCTCACAGAGCTCTGCACAGCTGGACAGAGGTCCAATGGGCACCACAGCTGACCGTCTCAGGATCAATATTTCTCTAGTGACATGGAACCCCCCCGGAACACACCAGGCGTGGATACTACCCCGGGAAAGCCAAGGTCCAAGGCCAGGGCTCCGTGTCCCCGGGAAGCGTGGCCCGCAGCCCGGCACACTCACAGCAGCTGCTTGTAGGTCCTCTCCTGGTAGGTCTGGTTGCTGACGTAGGTGATGTAGACCGAGAAGTGGTTGGCCGCATAATGGTACACGATGTCACACACGTCCGAGATGACAATGTTCTCCTCCATCCGGCGCTCCAGCTCCAGGAGGAACCTGCAGAAGGCAGCGGCTGTGGGTAAGGGCGTCTGGGTGGAGACTCAAAACACACCTTCGCCAATGGGTCTCGCCTGGACAAACCAACAAACACTACGAGATGAGATGCCAATGCCGATGGTATAGCTGGTCACATCAAGGAATTACTGTCCAGTTTTTTAGGTGGAAATAGCATTAGGACTACAGTATTTTTAAGAAAGAGAGAGAGGCGCCTTATCTTTTAGATGTATACTGATAGATTTACAGATGAAATGAAATGATGACAAGGATTTGTAACCGCCCAGCTGGCATCACTCAGTGGTTGAGCGTCGACCTATGAACCAGGAGGTCATAGTTCAATTCCCGGTCAGGGCACATGCCTGGGTTGTGTGGGGTGTGCATGAAGCAGCCAATCAATGATTCTCTCTCATCATTGATGTTTCTATCTCTCTCTCCCCCTCCCTTCCTCTCTGAAATCAATAAAAAAACATTTTTCTTAAGGCTTTGTATCAGAGAGATCCCATGGGTGTCATGATGCAGGGGTGGGGACGTGCTGAACTTAGATGCTGAAGCGTGGGCTCGCTATACTGGTGTCTCTATTCCGCATGTTTGGAATTTTCCCTAATAAAATATAATACATACATAAATAAAAAGACCCTTCTCCTTCCAGCGAGGGTGAAGCAGCTGAGGCTGAGGGCGTCTCACAGCTGCTCGGGCCTGGGGCTCTCGCCCTCCCAAGCCCAATGCAAGCAGAAAGGCGAGGCGTCAGTGTTGGGCAAGGACCCATTCGGGGTCCACTGAGAGCCAGCAGCTCTGCCACACCTGATTTCACACCTGGACACTCCAGTTGGACCACATGATCAAAAGCTGAGTTCTGCACTTTTCTTGGTAAAAATCCATGGCCTACAGTGAAAATGGTAAGTGGCTCTTTTACCCTAACAATAGGATCGGAGTTCGTTCTTCTTTGCAGAAATCAGTTGGTAGATGTCTGCTCCTCCCCACTAAGCATATCCCATCCTTCCTAGGGGCTGAGCTATAACCACAGTTCTGGGAAACACTGCCACATGGGCAAACACCCTCCCACTGGTGAGGTGGAGGCACTAACCAAGGGCTGCGCTCCACACTGGCTCCAAGGGTCTAACCCCGCAGGCACCAGGCCAGGGCTTTGTGACTATCAGGATAAAGAATAGCTTACACGGACACCCTGACCTGCCATGACACCAGCCGCACACCCTCCTGACTGTGGGATGCACAGACACTTGTGCTCACGGAAGGACCTACAGCCACAGTCCAGGGGGACGTGATTAACTGCCCTGCTAGGAGGAAGGTGGATCTTTGGATGAACATATTTATTCCTATCTTATCATAGAAAATTCCAAACCTACAGAAGTAGAGAAGCCCACATAAGGAGCACTGGCCACTTGCTCCAGCCGCCCCAGGCGAGAAGGCGGGATGCTCACCGTTGGCTGACGGCCATGACATCCAGGACGTTGGAGAAGAGGATGTGTGCCTCAGACGGGTGCAGGATCTTCTTCAGCCGCTCGTTCTCCATGAAGTGGGACACGAGCAGGTTCAGGCTTTTGTAGTAGGAGGCTTCAGAGGTGACCAGCTCGAACATGGCCTTCGTCAGGGACACAGGGAGGAGCAGACAAGAGGAGACAGTGGTGGGATTCAGCAAAGAAAAAACACCAACAAACTAATCAACAAACCAACGAACATCTATACATATAAAAGGCTAATATAAGTGTCCGACTGTCCAACCAGTCGCTATGACGCACACTGACCACCAGGGGGCAGACGGTCAACGCAGGAGCTGCCGTGATGCACACTGGCCATTTACAGAGAAATGGCACCACGGACCTAGTGCCCACAAAGCAACACTCTGCTTCCCCCAAGTGGGACACAGGCCCCGCCACCATCCCGGAGCCACACCCCACCAAATCACAGCCAATGCTGCTGAGAACCCATGGCACAAAATGCAGCCCCAGCCCAGCCCAACCCAGCCCAGCCCGAAAATGGTCTCTGTGGGCACCGGGTAATGATGTCACATAGCAATGCCTGGCTTCCTCTCCCTAGCAACTAGCCTCCTTGGAGTTTCTTCAGCCCAGGAACACAACTTGCTTTATAGCCAGGTGGAAATATTTTACACTTTAACCAAATGTCTGTGAAGCGTTTTCCCGTGCCTCATCTCATTTGATCCTCACAGAAGTCCTGGAGTAGGTATTCAGGAGACTCAGTGGAATCCTATTTTCTTTTCATTAGCCAGAAAATGGAGATTTAGAAAGCTTAGAAACTTGACCCCACTGAAAAGAAGAAATGGTGGACCTTGAAAATGACTTCAGGTTTTCTCACTGTGCAGAATATAGTCAAACACTGCTGCAGTTAAATATTTTACCCTTTATTCTCCCTGCATGATCTACAATAATAATCTGCTTCATGTTGATATTTACGGCTGTGTTGCTCACAATCACCTGGAAGAGAAGTTGGGGTGCTTCACTGGGCTGGAAAAGTTTAGCTAAATCAGAAAGCAGTTCTAATTAAGCAAGTTTAGAGAGAGAGAGAGAGAGAGAGAGAGAGAGAGAGAGCGCTCTCGCTGGTGCCAATCGCATGCATGTGTTTCCATCCGTCATTGTCGATCTTGAATTTGGTTGACCCTTCTATTATAGAGCAAGGGTGAACAGCGATATTAAAATATTTCTTTTAATTAATTTCCTTTCAATGTGCACGAATTCGAGCACCGGGCTTCTAGTATCTATTTAAAATACATAGACACAGATAGCCAGAGGGAGAGGGGGTGAGGGGTAGGTGGAGGTGGGCAAAGGAGGGGAAAATGGGGCAGGAAAGAGACTGCTTTGGGCAATGGGTGCACAATGCAGTGTAAAGAGCAGTTTACTGAGTTGTACACTTGACACCTGCATGGTTTTGTGAACCAATGCCTCCCCAATAAATTCAACTTTTAAAAAAGAGGAGACAGTGGTTACCACTGCAGACTCGCCCTCAGGAGAGTGCCCACCTGGTTTTCAGACAGAGACCCAAAGGGGCTTGGCCAGGGTCTCCAAAGGGAAAACCAGTGCTGATGCCCAGGGCGTGTGGAGGGAGGTGGGGAAGTCAGCCTCTGCCATCATCGAGGGGCGGCCACCAATCACAGACCCTGGGCCACCAGCAGCGGTGGGAGCCACCCCCCGCCCCCCGCCCCAGGTCCATGGCATCTCCTACTGACCTGAGACAGTGACAGTAAGAGGAGGCGCTGAAGGGGGCCCTGGGCACAGAGCGCACAGCACGCTGGCTGCACTGACCGAGGAACTACGAGCCCAGGACTGAGCGAGGACCCACCCACCCTTCACTCTGCCAGCATCCACCCAGGCCCTGCCCACCCCACGTCTCACTCCCTCAAGCACTGCCTGGCAAGACTGAGGCTAGATTGGCAGGAAGTTCCTTGAAGCTTCTCTGTCACTGATGCTGAAATCAAGTCACTTTCCTGCTGCTGCATTTAAGTTTCTTAAGAAAATGTCAAGGCAGCACAGTTCAGAAGTTCTAAGCAAATATAATTTAAAAACAAACAAACAAACAAACCCAGCCACTGATCTGGATGAGAGCTACCAATACCAGGAGCCGAAAAATCACCCGGTCTCAGATGCACACCTGCGGGGCTGGGCATGGAGACGCGGCCCCGGCTCAACTTCCCCCAGGTCCCGGGGCCGAGGGCATCTTTGTCCTGAGGACAAAGGATCAGGGACAGCTGGACGGAGGCAAGCGGCCTTTCAGCCGCAGACACACAGAGGGGCTGGACCTGAATCACTGCTAACTGGTATTGGCTGAGCCCATTTCCCACAACACTCACCCCCTCTTTCTCTGTTTTTAGGCGGTTAGTCATCTGGAATTTGTTTTCCAGGGTGTTTGTCTTCATTTTATATGTCAAATTATTTGCCACATCAATAAAGTTGTTTTTTCCTTATCAGTATTATTTTTATTCTCAGTCATTCAAGACTTTCCCTGGCAGCATGGAGCTGACAGGGATCCAGGCCCTGTTCTTTCTTCATTCATTCACTCACTCACTCACTCACTCACTCATTCACCCATTTGTTGCACAAACATTTACTGAACATTTACTGGGGTAGGTACTGACATTCAGTGGTGAACACAGAGAACTTCCTGTGGCCACCGAAGCTGACACCCCAGGGGAGGGGGCAGAGCAGACAGGAGGATCATGCAGGGCAGGGGGAGAGCCGCTGTGGAGCAGCAGGAAGAGATGTGTGTGAGTGAGTGTGACGTGTGTCGCCTGCTACAGGGAAGTCCTCCTTGATGAAACCAGCACCTATGTCCCAGCCCCTCTTTCCCCACCATCAGGCTCACACCTCTCTGCTAGGCTCACAGGATTGCTGTCCCCAGGGAACACTCAATTAGGCTGACCTGAATTTTACTAATCACGGCTGGGTCTCCCGGGGGCGCTCTTAGCACCCGACTATTCCTTTGGATGTCTGCCAGAAGTCACACTGCTCCTGGCATGTTCCACCCCTGCGACCTCAGAGCCCACTCCCGTGTGGCGTCTTTGAGAAGGGTAGGGTCTGCAGTGTTAGTGGTCACAGGTCAACTCGGCCATTTCTTCAGAGGGGTCAGTCCAGCTCATCTGTAGTCAGTGAGCACCGTGGCAGGCCTGGTGTCCACCATGGGCCTCAGAGCAGCAGAGTCCAAGGCCTTGGCCTTGGAGTTGGCCAGACATCTGCTGTGAGTGGGAATCGCTTCACCCGCTAAGCCGCAGTTCTCAGCAGGAAGTGCTCAGCCTGGAGCAGGCCCATCTCAAAGCACCTGCAGACCTGCAGGGTCACCATCGACCCCACCTCTGGGTGTTGCCTTCACAGGACCATGCTTCATGGATGGTGCTCCAGCCAGAGGAGTCAGGGAGGGCCTGGCCCAGGACGTGACATGGGGGCTGCGTCCCAAACTTGGACAGGAAGGCCCGTTCCAGGGGGGCCCGTGCAGGGAAGGCATGAGAGCTCCAGGAGGAGGTGGCGAGTGAGGCAGGGGGGTGGGGGGAGGGCTGGCCCCAGGCCACTGGAAGGTGTCAAGTGGGGAACAACAGGTTGCTGGTAACATGTTGAGTAACATGTTGAGCCCATGCCCTCTCACGGTCAGTGGCATGGGCCAGAAACACAGCCTTGTGTCCACAAGGCCGCGGGGGCTGCTGCCATGAGCTCTGAGGCCATGACTGTCCCTCCATAGGCCTCCCCTGCCACGTTCGGGAGGCACTAGAACACAGTTTTCTCAGTAAATTTAGATTTCCCTCCAAAGGAAGGAAACAGCACATCAGAGAAATCACTGGCACTCAGCTGGGACCCTCACCGCAGTCTCAGAGGAGCTGCAGGGTGAGCTCAGGCAGGGAGTGTCCCCCTCGTCGGGGACTGCAGACCTGGCTGGCACCACAGCAGCTGCCCGGAGACACCACAGGTGTGCAGAGCCAGGACCCCTCCCCCTGACACACACACAAGGAGCACAGTTCTGGGGTCCGCTTGGGGTTCAGAGACCTCAGGCAGCCTCAGGACTGGAGTGGCCCAGAGCTAGTCAACCTGGGCGACCCCTCGGAGCAAAGCATTTAAAGAAGCAAAGGAGCCCTGGCCGGTTTGGCTCAGTGAATAGAGCGTCGGCCTGCGGACCGAAGGGTCCCGGGTTCGATTCCAGTCAAGGGCACATGCCTGGGTCGCAGGCTCAGTCCCCACTAGGGGGCATGCAGGAGGCGGCCGATCCATGATTCTCTCTCATCAATGATGTTTCTATCTCTCTCCCTCTCCCTTCCTCTCTGAGATCAATAAAAATATATTTTAAAAAAAGAAGCAAAGGAGACCTCCGCCTACCAGCAAGGGGGATGAAAGAGGAAGCGGGGATGGTGAGACGGCCTAGAGCAGTTGTGGGCAAACTACGGCCCGCGGGCCGGATCCGGCCCGTTTGAAATGAATAAAACTAAAAAAAAAAAAAGACCGTAATGATGTTTACTTTGAATTTATATTAGTTCACACAAACACTCCATCCATGCTTTTGTTCCGGCCCTCCAGTCCAGTTTAAGAACCCATTGTGGCCCTCGAGTCAAAAAGTTTGCCCACCCCTGGCCTAGAGAAAAATAACCTGCTTCTGATCCAGGAGGGCCGACCACCAGCCCCAAAGCACAGCACTGGTCCTTAGGAACTCAGCTGACTGACCCAGAACTGCCTGTGATCTGACACAGTTCAGCAGTGTTGTATTTCTCCGTGTGCCCTAGGTCCTCATGTTGGGCCAGGCAAGCTCACCTTCCCGATCCTTCACAGCTGCTCCAACATCCCTATTGGTACTGCCCGGTCCCTCCTCCCGCCAGCATCGCACACTCAAAGCTGGACAATGCTCACCTCCATAGCTCAGGATTCTCTGGGGACCCCCACGTGGTGCTTTCCTCACATATGTGGCCAATAGTCATTCACACCCTACAGGCAGAGATGGGCAGAGATGACTCCCGGCTTGTGCCCGACCCTCCACAGCGAGCTCTAATCCTCAAAGGAAATGTAAGGAGGTCAAGGCTGAATGAGCCCATGGGGCCCCGGCTGTCACATGGGTGACAACTAACTGCTGGCATTGCTGTGGGACTAGGGATCATATGTTAAAGGTAAGCCACACATGAAAGCATTGGGGTGCCCGGGGCACACCGCACACCACCAGCAGCCCAAACCCAAGCCTTAGCAAGCTCCCACAACTGAGCGCCAACTGTTATGTTTGCTCAAGGTGATCCAGTTAATAAGTTACAAAAAAGTACATAGTGAAAAGTTTAAGTTTTAAAAGACACAGGTTTGCACAGTAGAAGTGCGAGTTAAAAGCACAAGATACCATCCACGACTAACACCTTGGCCATGACAAACTCCTTAGATAGTAGTATAGGGAACCCGCACCCTCATACACGGCTAAAGTGTGAAGATAATTTGGCGGTATCTTCTCAAAAATTGAAAAACATGTAATTTTTAAACCAACAATTCCACTTACCAATTCCCATTGTATGAATCTCAGCATTTTATTACTATAAATAATGCTGCAACGAACACTAACTGCAATTGTCCAGCAACATCATAAACCGTGGAGCCTCATAAAGCAACCAAGAGAGACAGAGAAGACGGAGGAGGAGGAGGAAGACGGGGAGGAGAAGAGGAGAGAAAAAAGAGTGGGTTCTCTACTTGGGCTGATATGGAAAGAGTTTGAACACTGCACATAGTATTTACCATTTGTGTGCACGCGCTCAGGCCCTGACCAGGGTGGGGGCGGGGGAGACTCCTCTTCACTATAAATCTGTTTGCTCTTTTTGAACTTTATATCAGGTGCATAAATTACTTACCCAAAGGATTCACCTTAAAAACGATAAATGCTAACACTGTCACTTTGTTAAATTTTCTCTGCCTGGGAAAGTCATAGGTGCTTGCTTCCTAGTCAAACAGCACAGGAGCTCACTGGGGTTCGGGGTGATGGCTACTGTCCACCTTAAGGTGCAAACACCCCTGTTCCCTCCCAGTGTGGGATCAATTTGCTGAATTGTCCCAAAGAGACAAGTATATGATTCAGTGAGGGTTGCTAAATAAAATAACAATCACAATTTAATTTTTTGATGAAAACCCTCAGTAACTTCCTTCTATAATGGATAGTTTTCTTTTGAAAAAAAAAAATACATTTAAGTTCTACGCTGTGAAAATAAGTTGACAAACAATGAAAACGCAGCCCTGATGTCAGAGGCCCCTGGGACTGACTGTGAATTGTACCCTCACTGGCTAGCTCCCCTGGGGAGACCCGCACAGGGCACCACTGGGTCTCCTCCCTTCCGGTTCCTAACAGGGTGAAGCTGGAAGTCTGGGCATGTTGGGGCTGTGCTGCCACAGTGCAAGCTGGGCAGGACGCCCCGCATGAGTGTATGTGTGTCCGTGTTTCCTTGGAGACACTCAAAATATTCCCTGCTCATTTTTCAAACTCTGCACACCCAGCTCCCCAAGCTCAGGGACTGTGGCAAGCTGTCCAGTGGGGGTGAAGATGCACCTCAAATGAGAATGCCTGTTGGGTTGGAACTGAACCCGACGGGCAACTGGGACCAGGAAAGATGTGACCTAAGGCAGTGGTCGGCAAACTGCGGCTCGCGAGCCACACGCGGCTCTTTGGCCCCTTGAGTGTGGCTCTTCCACAAAATACTGACTTCTGCACATGGGCCACGAAGTTTCAATTGCACTGTAAGGGCGTGCCCGCACATGGTATTTTGTGGAAGAGCCGCACTCAAGGGGCCAAAGAGCCGCATGTGGCTCGCGAGCCGCAGTTTGCCGACCACTGACCTAAGGGATACCGTGCAGCTTGAGCCCTTGCCTCCCTGTTTGGTCACTACCTTGAAACAACCTATGATACGAGCTACAACAACAAAAAGCCACGTTCAACCCACAAATTTAAGTGAGAGCCTCGCTGGTTCCCAGGACATCAACCTGAGCTGGGTCCTCCCTGATCCAATTGCACAGGACAGGCCGCTTATACGAGCAGGTATTCAGAACTCTGTGTATGTTATACCCACCCGTGTCGGTCGGGGGCTAGGACCCCAAGGGAGAAAAAGATGCTTCGTTTTTTCAGAGCAGAATACAGGAGGGAGCACATTCTAAGCACAACCGAGAAGCCTCTCTCTGTCTCTCCCTCTCCCTTCCAGTCTCTCTAAAAACCAATGGAAAAATGTCCTTGGGTGAGGATTAACAAAAAAATTAAATTAAATAATTAAAAATAAATGAAGTGATACGTTTGACAATATAAAAGGATTCATCGTCCCTTGTGGTGACTTTCCTTGCCCTGAATCCTACGCTGTCTGATGATACAGCGGGTTCAGTTTTCCAACCAATTGGAGAGCCTCTGTCCTCCAGTGGAGGAGTCAGGCAACCCACATGTACTGCTGTCCCTCACACCTTCGCCATGGACTCTGCCACCTTCTCTTGTGCTGCTTGGTTTTGTGCTGCTCCCGTTTGCTTTCCTTCATTGCAAGGGCCCTGCTTTCTCTACATTTAGCTTTGCGCATGTGGTAGGCGGTTTATATCCTATTTTAAGTTCTACTAGGATTTATCTCTAAGTTTTCCAAAATATTAAAAATCTTCATTTCTCAAATGATCAAGGTAAAAAAGAATGATCTCCCCTCCCCAACACACAGCCGGTCTCTTTTCCTTGCCCTGAGGATTAGAAGGGGGAGAAAATGGCCCCAGGTTGGTAACGTGGAGTGAAAGAAACCAAAAGCAAAATCGTGTTGTACAATTCCTTCAACAAGGAAGTCGGGGACAGTGGCCTGCCTGTGGCTGACGTAGCCCTGGGGTCTCCGGGGGCGGAGGGACAGTCACGCGGAGAGGTTCCTCCGTCTCCCCCGGCACCTTCCACCTGGCTGCTTCCGTGGGCAAAGTGTGGTGGGCTCTCCTCTGTCCGGCTCCCCCTGCCTCAGTGGAAGGTCTCTGATGACGAGACATCATGTACATCCGAAGGTGCATATGAAACTCTCGATGCAGCCACTTACAAACCCCTGTTCACGCCCCGGGGATGTCGCAGTTTGAACCAATTCCTCCTGATTGCGCTGTACAGGATGCAGGTGAACCGTGGGCGGCCCTTCATCCATCAGCTTCATCAAGCTTTCCCAGGGAGCGGACGCGTGGAGCAACCGGTCTGAGTTAGGCAGCCCTGGGCAGGAAGACTCTCAGGCCGGGTCCCTAACTGTGTGCCTAGTTTGTAGCTCGCCTTTTAAATAAAGGAGAAGGGCAAGTGTGTCTACAGAATCTGGCGCGAGAGTAAGCAACGGGTCAGAGAAGGCAGAAGATGTGGTGTCAGGACCGCAACCAGCAACGAACACAAACAGGTTCAAGTGCAGCTTTAAGGAGTAGGTGAGTGCAAGGGGTAGGGGAGGGTTGAGGTGGGGAGGTGGGGAGGGGCAGGGTGGCCCAAGAGGGACGCAGAGAGAATAGATATGATGGGATTTGGATTGAACCAGTGGAAAAACCCAATCTCTTCATTTCATTTTCCCCTCTGTACCCACTTTTTAAATTTCACAACGAACACACACTTGCACACTCACCATTTCTCTCACCCAGTCTCTCTCCTTACTACTGACCATACCCCATACTCTAGTCTCCCTATTCCACAGATTTTTCCCCTTTATGCCAAATAATCTTTGTGCAACTAAAGTGAACACTTAAATTTCTTAGTTACTCATTACTGTCACTGCTCATTTGTAATTGATTATTTCTGCCTGGTGGCCACAAACCAGGAGGCACCTCAGCGATACCTCAGCCTGATGGACAGATGGGCAGTCTGCCTGGACCAGTCAATGAGAGGGCAGAGAAGCAAGTGCCAGTTCGAGAGGGGGTGGGCATGCTAGGGCTTTCTTTCAGAGCCTCCCCTCACCCGAGGTTCAAGCGACAGCACAATAAAGTTGTGGGCTACTGAGTGAGAAGCCAAGCGCCAACGGAAGTGATTTCACAGTCACAGTTTGCTCCGCACCACCTAGAGCATTCGTGGTCACCGGTGCCAGGAAATTCCCAACAATAACGGCGGATTTAAAGAATGCAATCTTGCTAAGTAATGAAACCACTATGCTGAGAACACTCAGTGTTGGGATTGAGCTATCCTGCAAGGTAACGAGCTGTTTTTTGTTGCCCGTGAAATAAGGGAATTTTCCTGCATGTTCTGGGTGGATGAACCCTGCCAAGGCTTCTCAGGATGAGCCTGCTGGGCAGCCTCAAGGCACATTGGTTAAACACCCCCCTATCCCCGCATCCCACCCCAGGCGCCCTCACCTCCTGCAGTTTAATCTCTTCCGGCTGGAGGATGTCCAGCACCCCGCTGCTCTGAATCTCCGGGAGGTCTTGCCAGAGGTTAAACCTGGAGTGCGGGTTGCTGAGCAGGCAGATCTGGGGCAGAGCCCTCCTCTCAGGTGGGCTTGCCAGCTCCTCCTGCTCCTCCTCTTCCTCCTCCTCAGGTGTCTCCTCGCTGGATGGGGAGCGGAGGTCATCAGCTTGTATTTCTGCATCCTGTTGCCTTCTGGTTTCAATTTCCTGGAGAGTTGATTTATCTCGGTATTCCTGATATAGGAGCCCTGAAATCGATAGAATTGGAATGAAGAGCAGAAAAATATTTCAGGTGAAGATCTTTCTGAATCACTAAGGCGAGGCTTTGTCCTCTCATAAGGGCCAGGGCCCCAGGAATACACCAAGACAGACCCTCAGCCAACTACTGCCAGGCCTTCCCTCTCTGGGAAGGATCAGCCCTTGTAAGTTTTTTTCAAAGAAGGATAAAGAAACCCCTGAACTGATTTAAAATCCAATCACACAAATAAATGCTTTCCCCACATGAACCCTGCTGGGAACCCTGCTTGGCAAACAAGAACCCACAACTTGATGTGTTAATAACCAACGTGTGCAGAGTGGATGGAAATGTCCCAATTACGCTCCAGTATCCCCCAGGATGCTTTCAAGGCCTTAAATGCTTCCATATTAAAACTCGAGTATGTTCATTTGTGAACTGGGAGTACTTGTCAATTCTCATTTTGAAGGAAAAAACACTGCACCATCCTTAGGATTCAAAAGGGAAACATTCCTTTTTTGCTTTTGCAGTTTCAGACTTACTTCCCTGACCAACTGTACTTGAAGTAAATGTATTCTAAGTCTCCAAGGAGATTTGAGGGTGCCTATGAATCAGCACAGAGGTGGCACCTCCTCCACAGGGAAAAACCCATTTCAGACATCCTGGCTTAGGGGCGGGGCTGTCTCCGCACAGGAGCAGCAGGAAGCAGCCTAGGGAGAGGGGAAGCTGGGTGGGGGCGGGGGGGGGGGGGGGGGGCGGGCATGTGAGGCGGGCGGAGGGGCATCGGACTCCAAGGGTCTTGTCTGCCTGCCAGGCCACAGAGGCGGCAGCCTATCCTCTGGGCAAGAGAGAGGCCCCAAGAATCCTCGGGCGGGCGAGCAGCTCTGGTCTGTTTTTGGAGGCCCCGGATGGGAAGAGGCTGTGACAGTTCTGCAGGAGTGATGATGGAGGCAGGCCTGAGCTGCAGTGGGTGGCGGGATGGGGCCGCACCTGTCAGGGCACAGTGAAAAAGTGGAAGACATGTCCTGGTGCTGCTGGGGCACGAATGATGTCCAGGTTTTCAGACTGGCAACAAGGTCGGTTGGCCCCATTCAAGGAGGTGAGGAAAACAGGAGGATCTGATTGGGGAAGGGGATGGTGGAGGGCTCCCGTGGGCAGCTGAGGGGCACATAGGTGGAGAGGTCCAGTGAGCAGCTGGACATACTGGTCCAGAGAGTGGACAGACCTTTGATATGTCTACTCACAAAACAAAGATGATTCTCCCAGGAAAGTTCTGATATGGATAAATGCACCACTTGTCTAGCACTGTCTCTTATAATGCAGTACAAGCACGTTGCCGATTATCCTTCTTTTCTTAAAAAAATATTTTTATTGATTTGAGAGAGGAAGGGAGAGAGAGAAACATCATTGATGAGAGAGACTCATTGGTTGGCTGCCTCCTGCATGCCTCACACTGGGGATCGAGCCCACAACCTGGGCATGTGCCTTGACTGGGAATCAAACCCTGACCTCCAGGATCACAGGTCAACATTCAACCACTGAGCCACACCAGCCGAGCTAAATCCATCCTTTGGATTAAGCTAGTTGGCTTCCTATGTTGCATAACACTAAATGATAAAGCCTTTATGGAAAGTGTAGAACTTGTTTAAAAAATTAAGATCCTGTGATTGTACAAGGTTACATTCCAGCAGAATACAACATGGAGTTAATCTGACAAGGGAATGAAAAAGAAAACCTAGTCTACACTAAATGCAATCTGGGCTGAAGATCTACAAAGACAGAGGTTTAATGTCACCACGTAAACCGGATCAGTCATGAGCACAAGATCTCTATTGTTGTCAACAGTAAACCAATTATTCTGTGATTCTGATACTGAGTTTAGGGAGGTTTAAAGAAACTAGGTTCCCACAGTTGACTTGGAGTCACTTTTCGATGCTTAGCACAGTGCCTCCCCCACATGGTAGGTACATACTTATTTGTTGAATTGAACACCTTTTAAAAATGCAGTTTCCAAGCTTCACAACAATTTCTAATTTGGCATCTTTTTGAAGGTTCAAAAATACATCTCATGTACGCTACAGTCATGGGTAAAAAAAGTAATGGGTAAAAAATCATGGGTTAAAAACTATCTCCATTGCCGAAACCGGTTTGGCTCAGTGGATGGAGTGTCGGCCTGCGGACTGAGGGGTACCGGGTTCGATTCCGGTCAAGGGCATGTACCTGGGTTGCAGGCATATCCCCAGTGGGGGATGTGCAGGAGGCAGCTGATCGATGTTTCTCTCTCATCGATGTTTCTGACTCTCTATCTCTCTCCCTTCCTCTCTGTAAAAAATCAATAAAATATATTAAAAAAAAAAAAAAAAAAAACTATCTCCAGCCCAGCTGGCGTGGCTCGGCAGTTGAGTGTTGACCTAAGAACAAAGAGGTCACAGTTCAATTCCCAGTCAGGGCACATGCCTGGGTTGCGGGCTCAACCCCCCAGTTGGGGGGGGGTGGGCGTGCAGGAGGCATCAGATTAGTGATTCTCTCTCATCATTGATGTTTCTATCTCCATCTCTTTTCCTCTCTGAAATCAATAAAAACAAAAACAAAAAACACCCCACCTATATCCAATATCATATGCTAAAAAAAAAAAACAGCAATATTAGCAGTGTGAGTAGTTGGATTGAAAATAATATTTCTGAAATCACATCGTTGCAGACACCATTGGCTGCCTCTCCTCTACCCCTCACAACCCTTCTTCCCAGCTGACAGGGGAGGGGTTTGTTTGAGTGCTGACCCATTCTGTGCTCAGGGAAGTAGGTGAATGTTGACTGATCAAAACTTCCTGTGATAGTTCCCTTCCCCTTGCCAGTGGTGGGTTTAGACATAGCAAATGACACAATCTGGCTGAGGCGGGTAAGGGGGATAGCTTCTTAAAAAGATGTCCCTCCCCAGCAGACACTTGAAGACAGACTGCCCTTTTTTGCTTTTATACATGGCTGCTTGAGGATGTGATGTCTGGAGCTGTGGCAGCTATCTTGTGACATGAAGCCTAAATGCTGAGAATGGTGAGGGAAAAGGAGCTGGGTAATTGTTTGGCTGAATTAACCAACTGCTGAACATCCTACCCCTGGACTCATTCACTGAGACAGAATACTTACATTGTTTAAGGTTATTATTATTATTATTATTGCTGGCTATTCTATTACTTTCAAACAAAGACTTCCAATACACGTGCTTTTAGAATATTCTTAAAAGTTCATATTTCTTTTTGTGGTATTTAAAGTACGTATTTAAAAATCAATTTTCCTAGAGTTACTGTGATTACACAGAGTTATCTGACACACTGTGTCCCCATTTTTCATATCCTGTTTATTTTTTTTTAGCTTTAAAATTCAGATTTACAATAGAGAGTACTTTTTTTTTATATTTTATTGATTTTTTACAGAGAGGAAGGGAGAGAGATAGAGAGCCAGAAACATCGATGAGAGAGAAACATCGATCAGCTGCCTCCTGCACATCTCCCACTGGGGATATGCCCGCAACCCAGGTACATGCCCTTGACCGGAATCGAACCCGGGACCCCTCAGTCCGCAGGCTGACGCTCTATCCACTGAGCCAAACCGGTTTCGGCTACAATAGAGAGTACTTTTACCTGAGAAACTCTGTTATTAAATTTCTGTGCTCAATGTACTGTTACTATATGATGTTTTCCTACTTTATATTTTGTACATTTAGCAAGCACAACTTTACATGGAAATTAATTTTACCTATAAAACCCTGCACCTGATATTATATCCATGCAGAATTAGAAGGCTCAGTTCCCATCTCTCCTTATTAAAATGATCTATACCTGACTGGCTGTGCTGCCCTGCACATGAGAGTAAGTTCCCAGTTCTTCTTCAACGTCTTCAGTCATTCAAAACCTCACTTTCTGAACAGAATAATTTTGTTCCTTGAATCCTTCAAATGGAAACTTCTAAGGGACAGAGAGTCTTATTTTTTTACTGAGCACCTTCTATGTGCCAAGCATTTATTAGGTGTCATAAACAACAGTAATACATGCACATACATGTACACACACACACACACACACACAAGCCCAGAGTCGCAGGGTCCACCATCTATAATGATGGTTGTATACCATATCATGCATAATCCTGTCATGATTCTGTTCTGGCCTCTGTGGGATCCACTGCAAAGTCCAACACAGTGCCCACATGGTCACTCCACCTTCTTCCCCACTCAGTTACACAGTGTGTTTAGGAACCTGTTGTCCTTTCCTGCTCCCTGGCAAAGAATTCACTTCATTCACAGAGCTAACAGCAGGTAGGGCTGGTGTAGGAATCTGTAAGGGAGAATGTGAGAAGAAGGCAGCAACAGCTCTGTGCTGTCACTCACCACATCTGCTGAGCACCTACTATGGATCTAGCTCAGGAGCCAGAAAAAGATAGTTACCATGTCAGTCTCTACTGTTTGGCACACGAGGAAACTGAGGGCAGAGATGGGCAGGCACCACAGCTCAGGGCCCCTGACTTCCAGCGTCAGGTTTATGCATTGGCTCAACAGGTCCAGCTGTCTCCAGGAGAGGAGTCTCCACATGCCCAGGGCACAGACAGGAGCCTCTCCCAGCCTCACCCCGAGTTCCTTCCTAGTCATGGCATCAATCTTAGTCAAAGAGGGTCCCTTTCAAGAGGGTAGAAGTCTAGGCTTCCAGCATTTGCCACGGCAGAGGTGGCCCTCCTCATTAGGAAGGACACTGTGGCAGGGAGGTGGGAGAAGGCGTTTTCAGGAGTCTGTTCTCAGATCAGCCCCTCTCCATTCCCCCTGCAAACAAAGGGAAAAGCCGCCACCATCCCACCCGGCCTGACACTCAGGGGGCCTGCTGGAAACAAAATTTCTGGAGTCAGCAGCTTCACAGCATGCAGTGTGCACTCCACCCCCTCAGCTTTGCAAGGGCTCAGCTCCTCTCAGGGCTCAGTTTGGAAAACCCCTGCCAGGGAAGAGTGGGCCGCCCCCGAAGTCTCCCAAACGCAGGGTCTTCTGGGGCCACGGATGCTCCACTTCCACTCGAGACACCCCCTGTCTGTCTGAGCATTTGGGATGAAGGGCAATGATGATATCTAGGGAGCAAATTTTCCAAACCTAGAATTTCAATTGAACAAATAGACTGCTGCTCTGACGACACTGAAAAACAGAAGATTTTCTAAGCAGCCGGTACCATTTTCTGAATAAGGGAACCCACATGATGAGAACTAGTTTGATATTATTAGCAATTTTTGACTTTGAAATGCAAGTGCTCACGTACGTGGGACTCCTCAATCCACTTTCTGCATTCACAGGGCTTCAGCTGCAGCTGTGCTGAGCTGGACATAAATGGCTGCACCCCCTACCTCTTGGCGATGGTGCTGGACAGGCAGGTGGAACTAGGCTTCCTTAACCCAGGGGCTGGAGGGGGGCCCCCACTTTCTCTCTACTTTACCTGTCCCCTGTGCAAAGTCTGCCACTGCCTCCTCTTCCTGGATTGCACCCATGAGCCTGGCTCTCCCCAGAGGCGCCCCCCCCTTTTTTTTTTTTTTGCAGATTCTCTCTCTTTCCAGGTCTTCCCCAGACCTCGTCCTGGGCTCCCTCCTGCCTGGCCTAGCAGCACCTCACCCTGGTCTTTCCCACAGAAGTGACAAGGGGCTGGGCGGGTAGACCTCTCCAGAGAAAGCAGGACAGAAATGCATTTGCTAAAGCCCAATTATGCAGCACGATTAAAATGGGGCAGTTTTGCCTCTAGAACCAGGTAGAATCAAACATGTCAAAACGTTCACTAGGCCCAGCCGGCGTGGCTCAGTGGTTGAGCATCGACCCAAGAACCAGGAGGTCACGGTTCAATTCCCCATCAGGGCACATGCCTGGGTGGCGAGCTCGGTCCCTAGTGTGGGGCGAGCAGGGGGCAGCCAATCAATGATTCTCTCTCATCATCGATCTCTCTCTCTCTCCCTTCATCTCTGAAATCAATAAAAATATATTAAAAACAAACAACAACAAAAACATCCCCTAGCCTCCTCACAGAAATGCAAGGGTATCTCAGTAGCAGGGGGACCCTTAGAGTCCACCAGGAGCCCACGTTTGCCCCGTGAAGCGCAGCCACCGCTCGAGTACCCACCTATTTGTTCGATGAGGTTCCTCCAGGAGTCGGCGGGAATGGGGTGGATCATCTGCAGGGCCTCCGTGAGTGTGGTGGGGCTGTCGGCCAGCGCTGGGCACTCCTCGGGCGTGGCCCCATTTCCCGGGGTGGAGGGTGACTCACTGCAGAAAGAAGCAGGGGCAGGACCAGTTATTTTTAAGCAACGACACACCTCAGCTAGCTGGCGAGAGACGTGGCCGTGGCCAGCTGGACCCGCCCGGGACCGTCCAGGCGGGCCCCACAGGCCCTTTTTGTCACAGCACCAGGGCGCGACCGAGTGATTCATTCCCACACCAGCCCGTCCAAAACCTTCAGGTTTTCGGAGCTCGCGGGCAGGCGTCGGAAACTTGGCGCTCCCAGCTCTCTCCACGGCGGCGCCGCCCGGACGCCCGAACGGGTCCCGCGGCCAAGAGTCCAGCCCGCGCTGCGCACCCCGCGCCGCCCGCTGTCACCGGCCCCCAGTCCCTTTCGGGCTTGGGTCCTCCAGCCCCAGGGTCCCTCGACGTGGAGAAGGGGATGCCGAGCAAGATGTGCGCGCCCAGGGCGCCCCTGAGAGGGCGCGGGAGGCGGCCCGGGGCAGGGACAGGGGCGTCAGCGGCCGGGCTGGGACTCATCACTAACCCCAGTCGGGTGCGCGCACGACAGGGGCCGGGGTGGAGTGAGGGACGACGGGGCCCACGGGGCAAAGGCCACGGGTGGTAGGGGGGCGCGAGCTGGGGCCAGAGGAACGCGGGGGCGACGCGCGGGTCCGGGCGCCGGCTAGTCCTCACCTGCCGGGCAGGTGTCCCGCCGCCGAGTCGCGCGTGTCGCTCTCCGAGGTGGAGCTGTCGTGGTCCACAGCGCAGGCGGCGCTGAAAGCTGCGGCCAGCAGCTCCATGTGGCCAGCGGCCGGCCGGCGCGGGGGCCGGGTCCAGGGGCGCGCTGGGGCCCGCAGCCCGGCCAGGGGCGAGGAGCGGGCTCAGGATCCGGGGCGCACGGCGCTCTGCTCGAGTCGGAGCTGCAGCCGCCGCTGCCGAGCGCTCCCGCGGGCGGGCGGGCGGGCGGGCGGGCGGGCGGACGCGCGCCTGGAGGATCCCGGGGTTGCCACGGCAACGGGGGAGGCGGGAGGGGCGCGCTCGGCGGGGGCGAGTCCAGGCGGCGCGAAGCGGGGAGCGGGGCTGGGCGCGACCCTGGCGGCGGACGCGGACCTCCCGCGGGGTTCGCGCCTCGCTCTTCTGCCGCCACGGCACCGGGCTCGGGGGTGAGGGGGAGGGCAGGATGCGTGGGGGCCGGCGAACTGCGCCCTCCGCCTACCGCCCCCTCCTCGCCGCCTGGCCGGACCCCACCGGCTCGGGAGGAGAACTTGGAAGGTCCGGGCGAGGTGACCCTCTGCCCTTCGCGCCCTCGAACTTCCGCCCGGCGAGGCCGCACATCCTCTGCGGTCCCCCGCAGGGACCGGCCGGGAACCTGCCTCTGTCGCTCCGAGGGAGTCCGAGGCCGAGACTAGGGTCTTAGGGCGCCCCGGCACCTTGGCTACGGAGAGGGGGCTGGCGCAGAGGCTTCTTCCGGCGGGTCTGGCCGCGCCCCGCGCCCCGCAGGCCCTGGCGGCCCGGGGTGGGTATGGTGGAGCTAGAGGGGGAGAGACAAAGTGCCCCAAACCTCCGCCCGGCGTCCCTGCTCCGTCACACTGACTCTTGGAATCTGCGCCTACGTGTTAGCTAGTTGAGTCCGCTTCTGGATACAGAAAGCAAATAAAATCGGAGCCCAGTGGAGTGTGAGTGATCCCGTGGCCCGCGGAAATCTGGAGGGATTTCATCCGATTGGCACACTGCCCGGTGTCCTTTCTGAGGCTGCGGGCCAGGGCCCCTGCGAGAGGGTACCTGTGGGCAGGGATGAGGCGTGCAGAGCGCAGGGGGCTCTAAATGTGTTTAAACGAACACATTCCTTGGTTGGGGGATGCAGACACTGGTGGGAGGGTTTCAGTTAGCTTTACTAGGTTCCTTGGCCAGCCATCTAGAACATGGCAGTTGTGTAAAAGTTAGTTCCCTCTAGGGGCCAGAATGGACAGTTCCCATCTCCTCGTGCCCTTCAGGCCTCAGAATATCTTCGTGACAGCCATCTGGTCTCTGTTTCCAAGCCAAGCTCCTCCCTTCCTTGACTCTTTCCACATGTCTCCAGACAAACAGCCTCCTGTTGAGCTCTGCATTTCCATTTGCTCTCTGGCCATCGCTTTCTGACGTGCCCTAACACTCCACCAGGGCACTCACATCTCCCCATGCCACCGGGAGGCCAGCAGAAGGTGAGAGCCGGCCTCCACTTCTCCTGCACCTCCTGTCACCTACATGTCAGTGCCTCACTGAGCCCCCTTGGTCCCCAGACCTTTAAAGCACGACCCCAATCCTTGGACCTGCCCCCACCCAGCTCATTCTCTCTCTGTCTCCTTTCTAAAATATGGGGCTTTGCCAAAACCGGTTTGGCTCAGTGGATAGAGCTTCGGCCTGCGGACTGAAAGGTCCCGGGTTCGATTCCGGTCAAGGGCATGTACCTGGGTTGCGGGCATATCCCCAGTAGGAGATGTGCAGGAGGCAGCTGATCGATGTTTCTATCTCTCTCTCTCTCTCCCTTCCTCTCTGTAAAAAATCAATAAAATATATTTTAAAAAAATAAAATAAAATATGGGGCTGCTTTGGTCCCTCCCCTGCTTAACAACCTGCCTTGGAGTACCATCGCCTGCAGGGGGGGGGGGGGGGCAGCCTCCTGCCTCTGTAATGAATGGGCTCTTCAGTTCCTTGCCAGCTTCCTAGAGCCACTGTCCTTGCTGACTCCTCTGAGGCTTTGGTTTCACACACTTTTCCAGGCTCTGGGCTCTGTGCTCCTGGGGCCAAGTAGTTCCTCTGGGGGGTGTAGGCGCACTGGGACACCCCTCCCCAGGCCCTTTCCTTTGTGTAACCAGCAACATTGGCACACTGTACGTCACTTCTGCCAATAGGACGTTCTTACACGAAGCCACGGGCTCCTCCAGGCTGGGCACTATGATATCCTACTCATCTTTCATCAGGGTCCAAGGAAGAGCATGTGTGGCAATCACTAGAACCTCCTGCTTTGCACGGTTTCACCACCTCTCAGTCTGGGTGCAGCACTCAGTGAAGCTGTTACTTTCGCACTTTGCTGCACCAAGGGGAAAAGATTAAATTTTTTTAAAATCAGAAAATATTCAAGTGAAATTACATTCAGAGTGGGCAAGAGTAGATTTATAGTTGTTTGTACAATTATTAATAAATAAAAATACAAGAATAAACTGTGTTTTACATACTCACAACTGTTAGCCAGCTGTGAGCGTTAAGGTGAGCATAATAAAACCTTCCAGTTGAAAAATAAGCTAAAAATATCTTCCTAATTATAAAATCAGTTTAGAAAGTCACTGAGTTCTGAAGGCATATAACCTTAAGCTAAATTCCCCATGTTCTATTTTCTATCACATTTAGTGCTTATTAGGCAGGAAATTATAACATCTCCATTTAACTGACATTTTACTCACAATATACTTTATTCACAAAATGTAGATAAATTTTTCAAATATGCCTCATTAGCAGATGGTCGGTGCTCTATAAGTATTTGTTAAGGAAGTAATGGTATTTTTGTTCATTTGTTTTTTAAAATATATTTTTATTGGTTTCAGAGAGGAAGGGAGAGAGATAGAAACATCAATGATGAGAGAGAATCATTGATCGGCTGGCTCCTGCACGCCCCTTATTGGGGATAGAGCCAGCAACCTGGGTTCATAGGTCGATGCTCAACCACTGAGCCATGCCAGCCAGGTAGTAATGGTACGCTTTAAAAAATATTTAGTGTTAAAAAAAGGATCAGTGGATGGGAGAGAAAAGGAGGCATATATAATACTTTCAACAATAAAGATTTTTTTTTTTAAAGAAAGAAGAATCAATGGACCAAAAGGGAGTCGCTTTTGCCAAAACAAAATTTAATAACTAACCTAATGCAGTCTCAGACTTTGCCAGGCGTGGAATTTTAAGCCAATCAGTATTGAGTTTCCTGGCCCTCACTAGTGGGGGTCATCTGCTTGATAAGACCCCCGCCTTCCCTAAGGGAAGGGTTCTTGTCTGAAATAATTCAATTCCTTTAGCTTCTTAGTCCCACCCTCTTTCTGCCTATAAAGAATCTTCCATTTGGAGGGACTCAACGGAACACGCTTCCAGTTGCTGGATGGGATGTTGCCTGACTCATGAATCACTTAGTAAAGCCAATTAGATCTTCAAGTTTTTGAACATTAGTTATTTTATCTAAAGATTGTTTATTTTTCCCTTTGAATTACAAAGAGTAAATGTTGGGGAAAAGTAGATTCTTATTTATATAGCCCTCTCAGGCTTCAGGAATCCTCATTTATAAAATGTTACCTTATTCTGAGGGAGAATTGCTAGAAGCAGAAGGAAGTTTAAAAATGACCTGGTCCAACACATTTATTTGACAGAAAAAAAGGGACAGAACCAGAAAGTTAAAATGGCAAGGTCACACAGCTGGCTAATGGCAGATTTTGGAAGAATATGCTAGTAAGTCAAGACTGTGTTGTATGGGATAAGGAACTGCACATTTCTATTTAATTATTCTAAAGATTTTTAGGGTTACATGATCTGGCAACAGACAATCAAATGTTAAAATACATTTGTCTTCAGTCTAGTAGGAAAAATGACATGGAATTGTTTTTTGTAGTGAGGAGATAATCCTCAAATATATATTGGAAACATCTAGAAACAGGTGCTTGATAACTTTTAATTAATTGCATCTTTCACATCTATAAACACAGTTTATTTTTATCCCTCTCAAAAGACTTTTTTCAGTTGCTTTGAAAAATCAACAAACTCAAACCACATAGGCAGCCCCAGCAGTAAATCCATGGAAAGCTAGAAGAGAGAAATGAACCCCCAAAATCTAGGGAGAAAGTTAGGGAAAGGACAAGATGTAGCCTCTCTCACCGAAGCTCCATCTGGAAACACATATTTGATGTTTAAAAGGTTTCTCCATAAGGAGAGTGGTCCCAGGTAGACTTGTCCTGTTGTGTGGTTGGAAGTATTTTACTGGAGAGGGGGAGGTGGATGTCTTTCCTTAGTTTTGATCATAAGGATAATTT